GAGATGGGAGATAGCTGTGGAAGAGGACTGTTCATCAGCAGGTTTCCAGATCTCAGTATTGACCTTTTTTTCTTTCAGAAGAGATTCTGGGTTGCCTGATTAATGCCAGCTGATATATAAATACTTAGGCCTATGTGCTGCATTTGTCCTGGGAGTGTTCACTACATTTTGATTAAAAAATCAAATAGTAAACTGCATGAGATGCATAGAAAGCATATTCCAAAAAGGGCTCTCTTGCCAGTTTGAGAATGTAAGAACATGAAAATGAGCTCATTACTTCTGAGGGCATGCAGATGTCATATAAATTTATACTGCAAACCATCACCATTTAAGCTAGATAGCTAAACATACATTCCTGCCTGCTAAAATTTGTAAGGGTACCAAGACCATGGAAAGAGCCTGAGGATGAAGACGGTGGCCTTGGTAGGCTGAGAGAAATCCCACCTTTTCAGTACTGTGAGAACCAGCAGCAGTAGGGCCAGGTAATAGAAGATATTTGGGGGTCAGGCATACTTTTGATGTCTATTTATGATCTTTTAATTGCTGGAGTCATCAGTAAAAGTCTGAAAACACTGGAGCTTTCTTTGCTGTACTGGGTAACTCCAAATGCTGACGGTAGGAACAGGGATTTCATGTAGAAGCGGTATTAAAGGATCCCATTTGATGTTCTAGGTTCAAAATGAATGGGACAAATTGTTAGAAGAAGATTTTCAGAGGTATTGTCATGGGATGAAAAATTATCTTACACTTAAAATCTCCATCACCTCAGTCTGTAAGAGAGTTAAGAAATGAAGCCAATCTCTGTCTAGTATCTTATGTGAGGAATACACCTCAGAGAACAGGGATCACACTAAAACAAGCAAAGAAATAAAGAAAAGGTGACCCTACTCATCATCCAAGAAAATCCCCTGTGGAAAAAAAAGAAGATAAAAAAAGTTTTTCTCAGTAGTGAGTTCTCCTCTTATAAGGGTGGGGGTTGGATTTTTTTCCCCTTCGGTTTAAGCGTTAACCAAAGGAAATGGCTTGTGCACCATTATTTAACAAACTTGCAGCTGGCACAGCCTCATTGGATGGTTTTCTGCCACTCAGATCTGCTTCACCCACTCCTGAGGCTGGCCCTGACCCTATCCCTGTAAGGAAGCCTTAAGGAGAGCAGTGACAATGTGGTTGCTGAGCACTTTCTTCCTGGCAGCTGTTTCTTCTTGTATGTGCCCTGCTCATCCTGCTGCCTGCGCATTCACCAGTGGCAAAGGGTATGTTCTCTTATCTCAGCTTTATGCCTCTAATTTTTCTCTTTTTTTTTGCCACAGGTGGCTCTACACGAGACTTGCAGCAAACCCCCATATCCATCACAAAGCCAGAAAGCAAAACAGTGCTGATCAACTGCCATGTCTCCAGCCCTGGTTTTAGCACCATTTTCATTCACTGGTACCAAAAGAAGGCCAATGAGGCTCCAAAGCGTGTTGCGTACATGTCCTCCAGGTCTTTCCTCGAAAACCAGTCGGATGAGGGGAAGTTTACTATTGAGAAGGATCTCAGCAAATCTGTCTGCACCCTGACAGTGAGCAAAATAACTCCGCAAGACTCCGCCACCTACTACTGCGCTAGGTGGGATGCACAGCAGTAGAAAGCCATAGGGGACCTGCACAAAGACTGCTCTGCTTTCCAAACCAGATCCTGCAGTGTTTGGCAATATGCAGGAACATCACCACCCTGCTTTTCCCACCATCCTTGAATCAGATACCAAAGATGCTGCTGAGCTTTGCAGATGCACACTACACCAATACCAGCAGAGCTGTTATTTCACTTTGCCAACAGAAAGAGTATTTTTATAGGTCTGAACGGATTGCCTCTGAGTGGGTTTACAGGATGGCAGAGTGGGTTACCTAAAGGCAGGAGAATCCTTTCTATTCCCATTACTCTCCAAGCTGACTTGTAGCACTGATAAATTCCATTTATCTCTGGAATAAATCCCCAGTTACATCATTTGTGTGGCATAACAGAAGAATACAAGTGAAAATAAACTTGAAGCACTACTCAATACCACAGATGTAATATACCTGTTTTGTACTTCCCTGTCAGTAGAGAATCTGGTTTTATTTTCTCTTAGTTTTCTGTTTGGAGTTGATCAAACCTTCAGTTAGGTTAAAATTTGCTTCAGACTACAAAACTACTCTGTAAATAGTTAAGGTAACTGGGAGGGGCATGGGGGTGGGGAAGGGAGGTACATAGAGGGTTTGTGCCACTTGTGTAAAAGCTATAATCTATCTGTAAACATTTAGAGGGGCTCAATCAGTCTACTTAGTATCAAACAACATCCACCTGTAGCCAGGGCAGCCTCTCCAGATTACGCCAATGTGAGTCATTTCCTTGCCTCAGCCCCTGCCAGTAGTGCTGTTACCTTCCTCCCAGAGGCAGACACCAGCAAGACCTCTCAGGATGCTGCTGCTTCCTCTCCTGGCCCTGTCTGCAGCCTGGTCTTGTAGGTTCCCCTAGTCACCATGGTATGGGGCAGTTGCAGGAAGCATTCCCTATTTCTGAGTGTGAATGCACGGCAAGCTAAGAGTATTTGTTCTGTTCTCTCTCCTTGTTTCTAGATGGACAAGTGCTTCTGAAGCAGAGTCAAGTATCTGTTACCAGAGGGCACACTGCCACTGCATCGATTGACTGTATAGCTGAGGGCATATCTGGCTTCCAGTACGTGTACAAACATTGGTACCGACATGTGCCCTCCAGAGCTCCTGAATGGATTCTCTATATTGGAACACGTTCAGCTTCTTATGGTGGCGATTCCTATAAGAACAAGTCGTCTTCTTTGAAGAAATGTACAAATGTCTGCACTTTCACGATTAATGACATCAACTCCAGTGATGAAGGTACCATGTGGGAATGGTATTCACAACCCCATGTCCATGCAAGTGGTTTTTTTGTTTTTTTCGTTATAGATATGTCTGCACTGCAGGACCTGACACAAATTCATGTATTTATCACAAGGACAACAGAGTAATACAAACTTTCTCTACTAGTTGTGAGATGAGATTTATTTGTGAACACTGTTATTGTCAAAAGCCTGAAAATGATCCAGAGGATTCTCTCTTTAGGGTCAGAAAATATGACATTTTTCTCAGGGAAGAGTATGAGGTGTGGTGGCTGCTACCCAAGGGACCATTCGCTAAAAAGTCGCTGCAGGGCATTTTCTCAGCGCCCTGAAATGAGGGAAAGTACAAGAAAAAGCAGGGAGCAGCAAATAGCTGGCTGGTGGAAATGCATGCTTTACCCTGGCCTTGTCACAGCCACTGGGGCTCTCTTACAATAGAGCTACCAGCTGTATTTTTCCTATTTGGTCCTACAGCCCTGTTATTAAGGAAGGCAGGCGCTTGCACACAGTACCTCCCCAACCACCTCACTGCTGGCAGGTCACTACTACCAGAGGAACTCCTTATTTCATCCAACAACCTGAGAGAATTAAGGGAACACAGGGATACTCAAAAGAAATGCATCATGGCTAGTCAGTGCACTTGGATGTTTATGTGGCATTTTATGTATTGGTAACCATCAATGCACACTGAAATTACCAGCTGCATATTCTTTTTAAGAGCAAGATAGATAGACAGGTAGACAGATAGATAGATACCATTAAATATCATTATGTATCAGCGACTCCTCCCCTCTTTGTGTTGTCAGTGAACTTGCTGAGGAGGCCTCTGTCCATTCGTCCAAGACACTGATGAACAAGTTAAACAATACTGGGCCCAGTATTTTACCCTGGGGGACACCACTAGTGACAGGCAATAAAATGCTCCAGGGAGACTTTATTGCAGCCTTGCAGTACTGAAAGGGGGTTTATGAAAATATGGAGAGTGACTCTTTACATGGGCTGGTAGATGGTGATAGGACAAGTAAGAATAATTTCTAACTAAAAGAGGAGACCTTTAGATTAGATATTAGGAGGAAGTTCTTTACTGAGAGGGTGGTACGGCTCTGGAACAGGCCAGGGAAGCTGTGGATGCCAGATCCCTTGGAAGTGTTCGAGGCCAGGTTGGATGTGGTCCTGTGCAACCTGATCCAACTGGGTGACGTCCCTGCCCATGGGGTCGAGGTGAGAATTAGATGATCTGTAAGTTCATTTGCAACACAAATCATTCTATTATTATATGATTCCATAATGTTCTAGGAAAAACTGGTGAAACATTCTTCTGTGAAAGTTTTGAGGTGTCTGAGGAGAGGACAACATCCTTGGGATGGGCCAGATTGAACAACTTGAGTTTTTATGTGTGTGCTCAGTAGGGAAGTCTGAAATGAGTTGTAGTAGGTAGACAGATGAAGAAACTTTTTTCAGATTGATGTCCTTTCTCCACTGTTACTGCTGTGGTTTAGCTTCTCAGTAAGTTTAACACCCTTGGTGGTAGCGAGTTGAAGAACAATCATTGGATGTGCTGAATGAGTCATTTCCTCGTCCCAGTCATTTGATGCTTTCTCCACCTGAAGGGCTCTGTAACATTTCTGTCTCTATTTCATTTCCAGGTTTAATCTGCACAGGCAGCATGTTGCTGCTTCCAGTCCTTCTTGCAACTTCATTTTGGTCCAGTAAGCTCTTTTTTCCTTTCCCCTCTCCTTCTTGTGTACTGATTCCAAATTCCGGGAGCTTGTCCCCTCACATAATTTCTCTGCTTCCACTTCCAGGTGGAGACATGCAGTCAGTGCCAGTGCAATCCCCAGAGGTGTACCATCAGATGAAGGGCAGACCTGCCAGCATGTCATGCCTACTGAAGAACAAAGACATTGTGCACTGGTACAAGCAGCTTCCTGGAGAGCCACCGAAGAGGATACTGTACTTGTCAGGACATGCACCTGCTTTTGATGACAGCAATGATAGAAATAGATTTGAAGTTCGAAAGGATCCTATTCAGCCTTTATATAATCTCACGATAAATTCTTTAACCCCTAGGGATTCTGGCACTTATTACTGTGCATACATGTATGCACAACCACAGCATTAGTCGATCAAAGATAAGCCGTGCAAAAAGGTATTTTGTGCTTTGAACCACAAGCTCTGCACTCTGCAGCAAGAGAGGAAAAACAGCATCTTATGACAACTATTAAATATATAATGTTAATAATCACCATATCACTTCAGTAGTCACATGCATCTGCAACATCCAGAAACTGGAGTCTTCCTGTCACTTAAAGGTAAATATATGAAACAATGCTCTTAAACTGAAGGCTTGATTTTGCTGAAAGCACTCACCTGACAGTGAACACAGCCAGTCTCTGTGTGGGAGCTATAAATCTCTTCTCTGTTAAAATCCTAGCAAGCAGAGCAATGTCTCCATCCCCTCAGTGCTTTCTTTTGAAAAAAAAAAGACAGGAATATGAAAGAGGGAGAGAAGACCAGATGATCTTAATATTTTTCTTTTGTCTTCCTTTGCATTTCAGTCACTACAAATTCCTACAATAGACCAGAAGACCGATTTTTACTGTCACAGTTCCTCACCTGATGTGTCCAAGACATAACTGAAATCCTCAGCCATGAGCTATGCCCCAGGCAAGCAGAGCCTCTCAGAGCCTTTGGGTTAAGTGTACTTAAGTGAGTTTTACAAATCAGATTCTACAATCACAGACTGGTTCTAGGAAGATGGCATTTTCCTCACAGCTGGTCAGAACACTGGTATACTTTTATGTCTTCAAGTTTCTGAATTAGGTTAGAGTGCACATGTTCGATATCCTTTGAGATATTCCTCTAATGCATCTGGACCTTAAAAATGGAGCCCAAATACCTGCATGGTGATGGGTTTACAGCTCCATAGGCTCTGAACACTGTTTTTGCTCAACTTTCTGTGTGATTTGAGTCTATAACATCTTGCTATAGATGCTTCTGTTCTCCTCAACTATTTGAAACATAGGTTGTACTGCATGTGACCTCAGATGTTAACTTCAGTCACCTTACCTTTTGTCTTTGTATCCTTTGGTTCTGAGGATTTCTCCCAACCACAGAGATTTCTGGAGGGAGTTGACAGCAACTTCCTGACACAGGTGACTGAGCAGCCAACAAGGAAAAGTGCTCTGCTGGACCTCCAACTCACAGACAATAGAGAACTTGTTGAGGATGGAAAGGTCAGGGCCAGCCTTGGCTGCAGTGACCGTGAGCCACTGGTGCTCAGACTCATGAGAGAAGGCAGCAGAGCAAAAGGCAGGACCTCAGCCCTGGACTTCAGGGGAGCAGACTTTCATGTTCCTCAGAGATCTGCTTGGAAGAGTCCCTTTGGATACATTTCTGGAGAGAAGAGGTGTCCAGGAGAGCTGTTTGGTATTCAAGAGTCTCCTCCAAGCTCAAGAAGGGTCCATTCTGACAACTGTCTGTAAATTAAGCATTTATTCATGTGAGATGCAATCACTGCCATATTTCTTTACTCTTCATCTGGGATCAGGTGCCTGGGAGAATTCTGCTGTCTGATCAGAAGAATATCTATGTACTGCTGCTGTTTCATACATGTCAGTTTTTTGCAACAAGGGCTTGATTTCAGGTCCTCAACATACAATTGCCAGTGCAGTTTTCTCTCTGATTAACTACAGTTGCCCATGCAGGAGACTGTCATGGGATGCTGCTGAGATGAGCGATCTTTTCCTTGACCCTCCTCCCCACTTCACCTTAAAATCTGTTTCTCAGTTCTCTCCTCGTCACTTCGTTGTGTTCTACCGGTCTTTTAGTAATTTCTCCTTCTCATCTACCTCAGGGTGGCCAGACACAAAATTAAATGGGCTTTCCTGTCGGGAATAAGGGGACCCTTTCCATTGCCACCATGCAGAGGCAGGTGTCTCTCCTAGCCTGACTCTTCCTGGAACCCTGCATTCACAGGCACTTTTCCAAAGCACTTAGCAGTGGGTGCTTACCACCAACTGACTGCACGTAGCCAGCTGCCAGCAGCAGGGAAGCCAAACAAACTCATTTCCTTTGTGCCTGGTGAGCCGCAGCCCAGGCCCACCAGTCACAGGGGAGATCATTTAATTAAGCACCAGATCATTTCATTAAGAAGTCTCTGCCATGGCTGTCGACAGCTGCTGCTCTCTTTTGTTTTCCAGTCTTTTTTCCAGTGAGTGTTTGCATCTCAGCTGAGCTTCGAGACTGAAATCCTGCAGTTGTGCATTTCCTCCCACAACCTAAGCCAAAGTGGAGGTAAGTCCTTGCCGTGCAGCTGCCCTGGTCGCTGCTTTGGTGGAGGGCAGCACCTGCACAGGGGCACCCTGTCACTTCCGCACTCTGCAACTAGGTGGTTAAGGTGAAGCAACAAAGGGTGGCTCCTAAGAGGATGGGGAAATGCCTCCCCACTCAGACACTGTGCACCTCTCTGCACCCCTCAGGTGATGGTACGCACTCACTGCTCACCAGGGCGACCTCCAGGCTGAAACCTTCACTCCACAATACATATCTGCTCTCACTTGCAACCTTTTCTCAGTTGCTCTGACTCAAGTTAATTAGGGCCACCATCCTTGGATTTACCGATGTTTTTCATATTTACTTGGAAAGCAGACAGGACTACAGCCTTTTAACCAATTTTGGCATGTGGAAATCTGGAGAGGGTTTTCTGCAAAGGCACCCCATCCTCTTGCACATGGAAGAGCCATCGCTGAAGGCCATTCAAGATAGTCACCTCCTCCTTCCACACAACACAGTCCCTCCCCATCTGGAGTGCCTTTCACTCTCCTTTGAGTCTCAACAAGAGCAGAGTGTGGCAAGCAAACATGCTGCTGCTGGCAGCGCTTGTGGCCACAGCCACTTGGTCTTGTAAGTACTTCCTTCTTATTCTACCTTTCCTCACAGGCACTCTTGGCTATGCTAACAGGCATCTTTCACTGAATTCCAGCTAATGACATCATTTCTTTGTTTTCCTAGATGGATTTGCACAGGAAATTCCCATACAGAGTCCTATATCCATCACCAAGTTCCAAAAAAGTGCACGAATGACATGTGAAATTCAAACATTAGGGGCAAATTTTGATGGTACTGTCATACACTGGTATCTGCAGAAGGAGGGTGAAGCTCCAAAGAGGTTCCTGTTCCTTTCAGGAGGAAAACCTACCGTTGAATCTGGCTTTCAAGCAAGCAGATACACAGTTGAAAGAATTTCTGTCCGGAGACGGTGTGTTCTTACAATAAAAGATGTAATTCCAGATGATGCTGCTACTTACTACTGTGCCTACTGGGATCCTCACTGTGATATAAATTCAGAGATCATCAAGGCAAAAAAACACCTGCAACGTCTGAACCACAAGGCTGTAACTGCGCCATTCCACCAATCTTCTCACTCCACCTGACGTGAGCTGCTGAAAGGCCAAACCTTTTTCTGCTTCCCAAAAAGAGCAGCTAACTCTGCACAAGTGTCCTTTTCAAAGTCTGGGTCATCGTTTGGAGTCCTGTCTTCAACATTCATGCACTATTTTAAGGACAAAGGAAATCTTCACTGCCTTAGGACTTAGCACATAAATGCTTGACACTCCCCTGCTCCTTTGGTGCTGTTTGCATGCCATAGCAGAATTCTAGCGTCCTTTAGGGGAGCAAACAGAGAAACATTGATCTTCCAGTCCAGCCACTGTTCTCCCTTAGGAAAGAGAAGGCAGCAAAAACAAGATAACATACCGAAGGCAGTACTATGTTTGTGGATGGAAATTATATACTTGCCACTGCCTAGCATGTCTGAGAAAAAGTTCCCCCTTAGAGTCTTCCCTGTTGTACATGTAAGCAACTGTTAGCCTCTGGAAAAACTGTAAGCCCTGTTTACCTACTTTGGATACCACAAAATCCCACACAGACCAATTTAAATTAGATATTTACAGTCTCTTATCTACCACAGCTGATGATGTGCTGCTTATAACCATTGTTTCGTTTCATTTCATGTTAAGACAAAAAAAATAATCATAGTTTTATTGGAAGAAGGATATTTGCTGAAACTGTCAAGTTGGATGGACTTAGTATGTGGCCCTGAGCACAGCAAGTATTTCACAGAAAAGAGTAAGAGAAATAGCTTTTGTTTGTGACTATAGCCAAGTATGTGCCTACTCTTCAGCTTTTCTTTTCCTGATGAGGGGTGTAATTGGATACCTGAAATGCTGGGGCATCACACAGTATGAGCAGTGGGACTTCAGAAAGATCAGGCTAGGTGTGAATAAACACTACACACCAGTAGCCTCATGTCTTGAAAGTCTTAAATGCAAAGTAAGTTTAAGGAGGCAAGTGCTCAGCGATTTCATAGAACCATAGAATCATATACTAACAGAATGGTTTGGGTAGAAAGAGACCTTAAAGATTGTCCAATTGCCACCTACCCATCATAGGCAGAGGCATCTTCCACTTGATCAGGTTGCTCAGGATAGTATCTGTAGGAGAAGGTGAACAGACAACACCAACCACCTGGATAATAAAAGAAGAAGAAGAAAATACTAAACAAAAATACTGCAGTTCTCAGTGAGCCAGGGTTAAGATTAGTGTGTGTGTGAAAAGAATCACTAGGTCAAGCTGGAAAGCCTCTTGAAGCATGGTTATTCTATGTGGCTGGAAGCAGTCACATGGGGATGTGTGGTATGTGGAGAGATGAGATAAGGAAACATCTTGCTGGCTGGAGAGCTCAGACCTGGGGTCGGTAGAGAGTCTGTGTATAGAAATGAAGTTACAAGAGAGTTCTTCCTGGGCAAAGTCTGTCTCCCATGGATTCATTTACTGAAAACAGTGCAGAGTGAGGGACCTTTTTTCTACAGATATCCAGCCTGGACCTAAACACTTCCAGGGAAGAGGTATCCACAGCTTCTCTGGGCTGTCTATTCCAATGTCTCACCACTTACTTATACAGTAAAAAATTTCTTCCTAACATCTAATCTAAAGCTCCTCTCAAGTTCAAAACAGTTTCCCCTTGTCCCATCACTATCTGCCTGGGTAAAAAGCCACTCAACAGGATGCAGTGTTCATAGCACAGGATATGGTTGGCCTTCTGTTCCTGAAAATAGGCCAGCATGTTGTACTGTGACTCTTCAAAGAAGATTGACAAAGAAAATTGAAATAGAGAGCTTTAGCCTGAAGGTTCTTAAAAATTTTAAGCAAAGGAAAAGGAGAGTTCTTTTAATTTGTGAGTTAGCAGCTGTCAGAGGAGGAAGATTTTCAATTTATTGAGACTGGAGGTGGGCAATTTTGTTCTCTTTTTTGGGAGCTGTATCATTCCCTTTCCCCATCTTCTTGCCTATCAACTATCTGTGTTTCATTGGTGTTGGATTGGAATCATCCAAAAGATTGGAGACAGCAAAGTTAGGAGAAAAAAAAAAAAAAAAAAAAGGCTTCCTATAGTTAAACCCAACTTTTCCTACTTGTGTTTCATATGGAATGCATCCATCCTAGTTACTGCCTCAAGGTGCATGCTGACCCTAATGCCTGAGAAATTAATCCATAAAGCTTTTTCTCTACCATCAAGCCTCTCCCTAATATTCTCCTTTTCCTGTGAGACCCTGAAAGTCTCCTCTCGTGGTTCATTGAAGTGTAACTCATTAAAGAATAATGGGATGAAAAAGTGACATAACAACTTCAAATGCGTACTAGGTTTCCAAATGACTGTAGGTCACTTTTATCCTGCTCAAACTTACAAGCCCAGATTATACAGGGGAGTTGACAAGCTATCTGCAATATGAAGTGTTTCACTTTGATTCTTCAAATGAGACCTCCCAGCTACTAACTGTCATCAACATAAATCCAATAGCGCCTGCAGCTGCAGGTGATATGGTGGTGGTCTCCTTCACTGTGTTTCTAAGGACATGGCAGGCAAACTACCAGTTGGCACCATTCGCTTTCTGCATCATTCCTGCCCTTGCTTTGTGTTGTGATTAGGATGTTCCTGTCCAGAAGACTTTTTTGCACCTACTTCAGCTGAAAGACCTTCACCCTCTGGTTCCTCCCTCTAGCCTCAAACAGTAATTTCTCAACAGAGCTTTGCAGCCAATATGCCACAAGAGATCCCAGAAGTACTCTAACTCAGTTTATTTTAAACGCCAAACCAAGCGTGCAGGCTGTTTGATTGGTAGAAGTGGTAACTCCTCTGATGTTATCTCGGACAGTTGTATAAGAAACCTCTGCACAAAAGCATCTTTCTCCCACAAGCTAGTATATGAAAAGCTGCCAGCGGAGCCTGGAGTGATTCCAAGAGATGGGCAATTACCACGTCCTGATGACAGAAAACACAACCTGCAGCATAGAGACACCTTCACAATGCTTTTGATGCTCTCTCTCCCTCCTTTCCATCTGCTGGACTGTATTCAGATAATGAAAAATGAACTGCATGCTAGCTGTACTTGGTGCCACTTAATTGCAGGTGAGAAGGGGTGTACCACTTCGGGAAAGAGTTGGATTTTCACCTGAAGGTATGTGGGTTTTTACATGCAGAACTCTGTGTACCTATTTGTGTGTCTAAAATCGAAGAAGAACCTTCATCTAATTATAAGGCATTAAGTGGAGGGGTTATCTTACAAATTTGCAACACTTCAGGAAAGAGGTTTGCTCTGAAGGGCATTAGATATCAGCTGAATATCCAGATACAAGTCTGAAATTCCTGACAGCAACCAAGGGCCAGGCCTTCATGCAGACTCCCAGGGATGACGAGGGAAAAAATGGGATTTTCTTCATCAGTGGTATATCAAGAGAGCATTCTAGCTTATTGTAAAGTCAAAATCTGGTGTGGAGCACCTGGATCAAATACTTTGGCATGGGAACAAAGCTTATTGTCTCTAGTAAGTACCATTATAATTGAACTGATTTTCACAGAATCATTCAGATTCTCAGATAATTAAGAATGAAAGACTGTAGAAAAATTAATTTCTCCCTGATAAATTATGGGGTTTTTGTTAACTGTGCATTCTGCCCCAGTTGGGTGGGTTGATGATCAATAACTATATCAAACTCATGAATATAGATTACCTCTAGAACAAGTGCTGAATATTTATAAAGGATTGGGTAATGGAAAAAAAAGGAGTAAAATTTCAATATCGCAATGAATTAATTTCTGTTGTGGGAAACTTCTTGAAAGTTTACTCTCAGAACAGCAAGTGAGAAAGTCAAAAAGTTTTTGATTTATAGAAGTGGTCCAATCTAAACTGATTGGGAAGAAAAATTCCCTGAATGTAATAAATTACTAGTTCCTGGCCCTACTGAAAGTAACTGTGTTACTTGTGCACTTGTATTATTCTTAATTGTGGTGAAGCTATGCAATCAATAAGATGAATGATGGTTTCAATAGAAAGTATATAACAATGCCTATAGGATGTTGCTCGGAAAATACATGACATTATCAAGGTGACTATAATTAAGTCAAATTGCAAATAGCTGAGGGGAGTTACAGAGAAATTTAAAATGTTATCTATCCATGACTTTGAGCAAAAGTTTTCTGAACTTTTTACTCATTACAAAACTTAAAGTATTTCTAAAAAAATGGCTCTCTAGTAAATGTTGAAAATTCAGCTATTGTACTGGGTCAGAGAGACTTTGTCTGTAGCCTGTGCAAGAAAAGTGCAGTGCAGGAGATATTGCTAAGCATTATCAGACTGGGGGATCCTGACGTCAAAATATTTGGAAGTGGAACTGAGCTTATTGTTTCAAGTAAGTACAAAATATAAAACTTAACTACTTCTGAAATGCTTCTCAGTACAGTTAGATGAAGTGCTCTGCTATTTTAATTCCCTCTAGTTTTAATCCTTCTGAATTCTTTGCAGGATTTCCCCCTTAAATAGCATTTTGATTTGCAGAACATAATATAATTGTACTGTATTTCTGTATTGAAATGGGGGAAATACAACAGCTGTTGCAGCACAGATGTATACTAACCCCAGTATTATTTTCTTTGCAAAGATGAGTTTAAATATAGCAAAGAAAGCATTTGGAGAACAAAAAGATGTTTTTCTCCCTAAGTATGCACATTCAGCCTTTGTGATATTCCTAATCCATTCTGAAAGAAATGTATCCAACCTTTGTGCTACTCATATTCTTTGAAAAGTATGTGACTATACCAAATGAAAGTTATCTGAGGTATGCCTAAAACAGTTTTAGGATAGACATAGTTGACAGGCTGCTCTTTCTTCCTAGCTTTTGCAGAAACCACGTATTATCAGTTATTACTACTATTAAGGGCGAATGCCAAATTCAAAATATTCTGGCATTGTTATCAGAACTATTTTCTTCAAATAAACTTCAGGTGCTCTGATACTTGCCTGGGAGTTGGCTCAGCTAAGCATCTGAGATGAAAACAGTTTGCCTAATTTTGACCCACTAGTATATCTGGTTAGTGGAAGTTTTGATTCCAATCAATGCAGAGTCTTGCTTCGTGTTATGGACAACAAAAACATTGGCTGGTGGTCTCGCGCTACTCAGATCGCTGCATAATGTTTATCAGTCTGATATAAGGAGCAAATTACTTCACCACTATCTGATCAAATAGATTTTCTGCTGCTGATGCCTCTTTCCAGAAAGGAGAGATGGAGCCAATGTGCTCAGTCTGCACCATCCACCTACACTTTCAGAAGACTCAAATTAGTTGAGATTAATTCTGTCCATTTAACAACATACCTGCCCTCAAAAAACTACACCTTTTTTTTTTTTTTTACTTTATTTTAGGTAAGTCCTCCTTTTTTTTAGTTTTCTAGGGTCTAAAAATTGATTATATAGCAAATCTGATTTTCTTTAAAGAATTCTATTTATCCGTGTAAACACAATGGAGCTGCACTGATATTGTAAAGACTTTATTCACTGTGACTGGTTACTACAACAAGGTATTTGGCTCAGGTACAAAACTCATCGTGTCAGGTAAGTTAAGTTGCAATTTATATTCATACAATTCATACAATAAGCTATAGGAACTTGGAGTGGTCGTATAGATGTATTATACTGTTTCAGAGCTGGCACCGTCCTTGCACAGGATTCTCCTCCCCAGCTCGCCATTCCTACGTTGAGCCTTGTGGTATTTGCAATGCAGTCATTTAGAACCACTAACATATCTGAAAAAGAGCTATTTTGAGCTAGTTTTGATCATAGTTCTCCTAGAATCTAGTGGGAAAAGGCCTGTAATAGTTTCCAGAGCCCTTGTTCTTTCCTCCAGCTATACTGAAGGAATTGGCAAGGAATCAAGCAGCTGTGAATTAAGCATTAAAAAAGAAAACCTCTTCTTAATACAGATACAAAGAGCAGTATGCAACGGTCATTGCAAAAATTTTTTTAAAAATTAAGCTAGCAAAAGTGAAATAACTTGTCCACAATTATTTTTCACATATGCTGCACTGTGGCAGTAGAAATAAATTAGTGCCTCCAAATGCTCTTCTCATTGCTTAATAACTACTTGTAGCAAAGCTCTTAAATTAATAACAAATTAATTAATTATTCATCATTAATTATGCTGAATGACTGCTTAATAATTGCTAATGAAGAAATTATCCCTTTTTTACCTTTCCTGCAGAGACATTTATTTTAATGAAAGGTAGAGGACAAAAATATTTTTTAAAGATGTGCTTTAAATGCCATAATCCTGAAATAAACAACTAATAGAAACAGAGCAGAGGAACTACTGCTACCAAATGTTTTAAGCCCGGTTAAATATATAAATGTATGTTAGTATATCAACCAAAGATTGGTTCTAATGATTTATGTCAGAAAGACTAAGTAAATCATACCTATAGTTCAATGCAAATATCTCTGGCATGTTGCTTTTAGCGAAAATCCTTACCTTATTAATGAAGTAATTGCCATGCTTTTCTTATCTACAGTTTAATATATTTTCAAGCATCACTCTAATTCTGTAGGATTTTGTCTTTATGAGGACAAGGATTCTGAATCATTAATAGGGTAAGAGGGTTGTAGTTACTTCACATTTAAGATCATTAAGGAATTGAGAAAACCAGGATTCAGGATAAGGCTCTTTGGGAATAGCATCATTAGCTGAGATTGAGTCCAAATATTGTACATTCATGTAGCCTACTAGACTCCTATTGTTTGTGTGATGGTTGTTAAACATGGTACTTTTCCAGCCAAAATCATAGAATCATTGAATGGCCTGGCTTGAAAGGGACCTTAAACATTATCAAGTTCAAACCCTGAGCCATGGGCAGGGAAAACTGTCACTAGACCAGGTTGCTCAGAGCTCCATCCAACCTGGCCTTGGACACTTCCAGAGATGGGGCATCCACAGCTTCTCTGGGCAACCTGTTCCAGTGCCTCACCACTCTCACAGTGAGGAATTTTTTTCTACCACCTAATCTATACCTATTCTCTTTTAGTTTTGATCCATTCCCCCTTGTCCTGTCACTACATACTGTAGTAGAAGTCTCTCTCCATCTTTCTTGTGGAATCCCTTCAGACACTGGAAGGCTGCCATTAGGTCACCCTGAAGCCTTCTCTTCTCCAGCCTGAACAATCTCAATTCTCTCAGCCTTTCCTCATAGGAGAGATGCTCCATCCCTCTAATCGTCCTGGTGGCCCTCCTTTGGACTCGCTCCTACAGGTCCATATCCTTCCTGTGCTGAGGACCCCAGAGCTGGACACAGCACTCCAGGTGGAGTCTCACCAGAGTGGCTTAGAGGGACAGAATCACCTCCCTCAACCTGCTGGGCCCACTGCTTTTGATGCAGCCCAGGACACAGTTGGCTTTCTGGGCTGCAAGTGCACAGTGCTGACTCATGTCCAGCCCTTCATCCAGCAGCACCCCAGGTCTTTCTCAGAAGGGCTGCTCTTGATCTGTTCATCCCCCAGCCTGTATTGATACTGAGGGTTACCCTAACCCAGGTCCAGCACCTTGCACTTGGTCTTATTAAACTTCATGAGATTCCCATGGGCCCACTTCTCGAGCTTGTCCAGGTCCCTCTGGATGGCATTCTATCCTTCAGACAGCAGTTCCTGTAATGGAATATACCATTGTGGGATCACATTTGTTATTTGGTTCTGGCACAAAACTCATCGTCACCAGTAAGTGTTTTCAAAATCCTATGTTTTTAGAAGTTTTGTAACGGGAAAGCTTTGGAAAGAAGGCAGATGGATCTTTAAGGTACCTGGGAAGGCTCACCATAGGGACTACACTACATTAGTACCAATTTAAATACCCGAAGCCTCTGTTCAGCAGGACAAGAATGCTGTTTATTAGCTGAGTGTGCTGAGTGCCCTCACCTGCCCCTGGCTTGAAGGGGAGCTTTGAGTACTGGACAAAATTTGTGGGATCATCCAAGAAATAAGAATTAAAATTTCAGCTTAAGAACATGGTGACATTATTTATAAATCATATTTATAGACACTTATAAGGAAACTGTAGAGGAGTTGCATTAAGAAAACTTTTGACAGGTAATCTATAAAAACATATATTTTGAACTTAAATTTTTAATAACTTATTGATTACAAATCTAACACCAGAATTTTATTTGTACAATGTTTTGCAGTCCCATTGCATTGGGAGACAAAAGACAGATTTAGCTTAAGAAACATCTGTTCATGCTTATATATTATTTGAAAAGGTAAGACCTATATACCTCTTAAAACCTGCCTTCAAAAATTGTTTGACAAGGTAAACGGCAACATTTTTGAATGTTTAACTAAACCAAAAACAACAGTGAAGTTTAAAGTCCATTACTTTAGAATTCTTCAGAAAGAATCAGATAATTTGCCCAGAAAAGCCAGTGTAAACTGTCTTGTTGACTTCGATGACTTTACAGATCAGCCTGAAACTACACCTAAGCCTACAGCCAATTCTACAAGTTTTCATCCTTTTTTTATTTTTCAGAAATGTACCTACAAAGATATTTTTCTCACATGCAAACATATATCGTATGCAAAACTTAATTCGTTCAGTTCTCTACTGTGATGCATTTACATGTGTATGTAGATGAGACACTCCCATGCACACACACAACTGCAGTTATTCAAGCAATGTACTCACTACATTTATTTCCTCAGTACAGAGGTATGATTTATGTGTTTTATTTAAGCTAAGCATCTAGGGTCTTCTTATGGCAAATGGAAAGATACTGGCAATTCCAGCGGCGGAAATTATTCTATCTTTACAGAAGACTCTAAGCAGCTGGAAACATCTCTCTCGCTTCTCTATTTAGACTTGACAATCCAAGAGAATAACGGCAAAGTAGGCAATTAGATTTTAGCCTGATGGAATTAATCAGGATAACTTACTTAGCTTTGAGGCTTTGCAGAGTGCAATGTCATTGGGACAAGCACTACTTCATGGTCTTCTGAGCATATACAACTCTGGAACAAATAATAATGTTAGGAATTACTTTAATCTTCCATCCATGGGAGAACTGATGCATAAAGAATATAAAATTAACTGCTAAGTTAATGTTAGAGAACCATAATATTGTTAGCAATTTTTGGTACAACAGAACTCTGTCCACATTGTCATTTCACTGACAAATCTCTGAAATAAAGGAAATACTTCAGGGATGTGTTATCCTTTTGAAGGTAAAAAGGTCATTTTTTTTAAAACATCAAGGCTGAAATACTTCAAAGAATCACTAAGTTGTTTTAGGGGAGATACAATGTAGAGGATTGCTCTAGAATAGCCAGATTATTTAAAGAAAGGTGGAAGCTTTTTGACAAAAATACATTTTTATATGAATATGTTTTCTCCCAGTGCACCACTGTACCATGCAGTCAGACCACAGTTTAAACCCTGTGCATCCACTTGCTCAAATTCAGCAGCAGAGATTTACATAGGAATCTAAAGACAAAAACTGGTGTAGGGAGATGAACACCTAAAATGTCTCTGCTGCCTTAAAAAAAATAGTCTTAAGCAGTTCTTTCTATATAATAAAAGTAAATTTTGAAAACTGTATCCAGGCTTCATTTGCAGTTAAGCATAGAAAAAAAATGATCACCTGTGAGCAGTTGCTGCAGAAGTTCATGTTGAACTAAAGTAGATGTTAAAATTTACTATTCTCTTAAATAATATCAGAACATCATCTCTGTGTGGACAAAATTTGGATGACTTTGACTCCTCCTAATAACATAAGGCTTAATCCAGAGAGGCAAATGAAATGGAGATTACCTACCGTTAACTTGTGGAAACAGCACATTTTTAATTTAAAATATATTCATGTATGTTCATACTGAGCATACAAAGCACATCACCTACAACAACACTGGGAAGGCTTAGATATGCTGTTTAGATGCAGGAATGTTATCTGGATATAGCATATTCTTCTGCTTTAGTTTAGTTTTGGTTTTTCTGTTTCAGATGTGTTAATTAAATAATTTAAACTGATCTAGTAATAAAGGAATGGCACTGCTAAACTTTGGTGTCCAGGGCATTTTGTGATTGCTTTTTCCTGTCTTGATAAAGATCTTCACCTGGCAAATACATGGAATACCTTAAAATAAAAAGGCGACATTTTGTTGCCCGCCTCCCCCCACCCCCTCAATTAAATCACAAAAGTAATACTGGCTTTTAAAATTTAATTAGGTATAGCAGATGTTTATTGATTAGCAGTGGGGACTTATACTGGGGGCATAAAACTGCAAAGATTTGACAGGCAGGTTCAAGTACCTTTTATATTCTATAGAAAAAATGTTTATGTAATTGTTTTTGCACAAATATTATAAATTAATTGTTTTTGCACAAATATTATAAAGCAATATTAAATTACTTTTACTGAATAAATGAGCAAATGTCTTTCAGGAAATATTACTGTTGCTTAATAATTGTCAAGACTTGAGCAGATACTGCACTGACAGCAGTACTGCTTGGAAGGTTGTGGGGATACAGGCTGTCATGTAGCCGTCTGGAGTTTTCTAACTCAGTTTCAAGAGAGATCAATAGCTATTAATATCTTCAACAGTATTTCTGTTTCTCAACATTTCTTAAAAGAGTATTCACATTTGTTATGGGCATTTTTAACACTTGTTAATAAGGCGTTTATTTTGTTGGTCTTCAGAATTTGTATTTTGTGGCTGTGTATTGATTTGCTGTACACCATTAATCTTTCAAATCTCTGTTTTTTTAATTTTCTTCCTTCAATAACCAATCCAGACAAAGGAAGCTCTTCACCAGCAAACTCAGAAATCCTGCAGAAAAAGCATGAAAATGAGATAATGTATGTTTGTCTTGTTGAGAAATTCTACCCAGAAGTTATTCGGGTCACATGGACTGAGGAAGAAAAGGAGGTAACAGACAACGTAGTGAAAGGCGATGTTTGGAAGCCCACAGGAGAGGATGAATACTCAATTGCCAGCTGGTTAACTGTACCAGCAGAGAACAAAGACAAGAAATATTACTGCAAATATGAGCATGAAAGCCAAAAGGATTCACTGCCAACACAAGGTATATGCAACATGTTAACAATTTAATTCTATGTATCGTTAGAGACATCCTTTTTCTTTGCAATAAAATTAGAGAAATAGTGCTTTCTACTACTTCATAAGACACCTGTGCTCCTTGGCACAGCAATAGCTAAAATACACAACTGGAAAAACTACCAAAGTTTTCCCAGGAAAAGCAACTCAGCCTGTGTTATGCTTCCCAAATGAGCATGCCTTTGTAAGAGAAAAATAACAGTTACTGAACTTCATCAAGTGTAAACAAACATAGCTACAAAAGGTCTGCACTGAAGCACAAGTTACTTTCTTGTTTACAGAAGTTACTGAAAATTACTCATGGCTTGCAGGTGTAAGTTCCTCTGACACCCCCTGACATTAGTCACAGCTGTAAAAAACTAACGAGTTAAAAATGAGGTTGCTGAGGATGTAGAACAAAATTTAAATATATTACTTACTCATAGTCCAGAAATAGTTAGATAATAACTATGTATAAAAATAAGATTTTGTGCTTAATTGTGGAAAGATTGATTATGCAAAGCAAAATCTAAAAGACAATGCAACTTTAACTTATATTCAATGCAAGTTGTTTATATCATAGTAATATATATAAGAAAAGTGATCTAAATTGGTTTAAGTTAATATTTTCTCCATACCTACCTCTGCTTAACTTACTACAAATTCACATAACTCCAATGAGTGAGACCATAGCCCTAAATAAACATTACATTTCAACCTTCAAAATATATTCTGACAAAAATATGCTTTAAGCTTATTTTGATGGAAGATGTATTTAGGGATGCAATATGGATGTCTTTAAGCCCACGTATCTATGCATACAAACAACGCAAAAAAGAATAAACACAAATTTGCTACTTCAAGAACAAAATGAGTGTATTTTAGAGAAAAACCATCACCAAAATAGTAAAGTCCTAATAGGGAAACCTTAGATTATACACTTCTCAATATTATTCTTTAGTGTTGAACAACCATTAACATATTAACTGAAGTCTCTTCCAAAGTAAATTATTCTGCATTTCTAATAACAGTAAATTGTGAAGGCAATTAGACTCCAGCTTCTTCAGTAACAAGATCAGCCAGTCAAACTGACTCCAGTTTCAAATAAAAGAGACTCTGCTAAGGAAGAGCCTAATGGACACATTTCTGAAAGGGCAAAGACACATCTCCCACTTATGGCAACAAATACCCAGTAACTTCTCTTTGAGCATTTCTCCTCTTCAAATTCTCTCTGCAAATGAATCCTGCTTGTGAATATCTGCTTTGCAAACTAATCTTAGGCAACCTTTTTTGTTATGTAGCACTAACTTCCCATCTCCTTGTTGCTCTACTTCCCCCCCTATTCCTCAATTAAAGAAAAGCCTAACTAGGGTATTTAAACTCTCTTTCCAGTAAATTCTACAAAGAATGCTCCTCAGGAAGGGGACTGCAGCGCAGTTCTTAATAGAGGTAATTTAATGTATTAAAATATGGGAAAGTGGGTGCATGTGGTGCAAGAGATAGATATTGCTATGTATGCTCAGAACGTTACAAAAATGATCTTTCAAAACTGTAAATAGTGCTTTTAAGTCTGGGGTCTGTAACTTAAAAACACTTCAATGCTACTCTGAACTAACTTCTGTTGTGGATTATAAAGGGATCTCCTACCTTTATTAGGTAGTTTTATTAGGATGCCACAGATGCTGTTTGGGCTATTAGATTATTAGTCTGCATTTAATTGCCACTTCATTAAACATCGGGAGTAGTGAAATGCTAAACGCTTCAGCTGATGGTTCATTAGCCTAGCAATTGCCCAGCATTTTGGACAAAGGAATTGGTTTTTTAGCTTGAGTGGGGATTTTGGAAGAATCATGAGCACTTATGTTCAAAAAATCCAATATAAAAGGATTCAAACAAATGTGATGCTACTGGTAATAAGTGCTGGAAGCACACAATTATGCTCTTACCTTTGCAAGGAATAATACCCCAGTGGCATGTGCTAAGAAGAGCAGTTGGGCTTGAACTTATTAGCAGTGCAAACTCACTCACAGGACAGTCAGATATTGTACGTGCCACTGGTGTCAAGGTAATTGCAGCAGTAAACTGACTATATAGTCCCAGTTCTACCCATCTTTTAAGAGGCTGTACAATATTGCCATTAAACAATACTTTTCTGTCTTATGTTATGCTTACAGATGTTACAGACGTTATGCTTCCAGATCACTTAATGCACAGGACAGCATATTTAGTGTACATCATCCTTCTTCTGAAGAGCAACATGTATTATCTTATCATACTCTTCTTCATCTACAGAGCGCGGGCTCCAACCAAGCACCAAGGAAAGAGAGCATAAGAAAAGGTTTAAGAAAAGGGTGGATTTACTTTGCTTCCCCATATAAACTCCCCTGCTCTGTATTAGATGTAACAGCAAAAAAAAAATCCCAAAATAATTTTCGGGCATTAGTGCATAGGGCTCATTTTGCTTTATTGCTAGTGTTTTTGTATCAGTCTGGTTTTCCTGTTTTTTTCTGAATATCAAACAAGGATAGGCAATAGCAGTAAAGGATTTTAATCCAAGATCCCTATTGCAAAATGAAGAAGATACTCAGATTGAAAGTAGTTATGCATGCAGAAGAGTAGCAATGTAATGGTACTTTTGATATATAAAGCACAGATGGGTTTTGTCATTGCACTTAAGGCTTAATAAGGAGCATTTCTGTGCAGTAAATTCACAGATATTTTCTCATTTTTACTTTCAATGATTTGTTGCCACTCTCATTTATCCAGCAAATGAGGACTTAATTATTCTGAAGTGATCAGTGCTTTAAGAGACAATTAAACATAATTTTTAAAAGTGAACATAGGAGTTTTGAATGAAGAAGTCAGATGAGAATAAAACCAATTACAAGGTGTATGCATACAGAAATGAAGAAATCCACCAGCACTGTGACACACTGTGTTTTTAAAGAAAGAAACCACTTGTAATTATCATGTATATCACCTTGTTTAAAGATAGCTTTTCAAATTGAGCAAAACCTCAAATATGAAGCTTTGGTAAAGAAAGTATTTTCCCAAAAGAAGAAAAATTCTCAGATGCTGGACTTTGAACTCTTGATCTCCAGGTTCCAAAAATTAGTTCCTTTCAGGTTTATGCAGAAAAGTAGAAATTAGACCTACTGGGATAAAGCACTTGCTCGGTTTTGGGCAAAACATTATAATATGTTTGTAGATAAGGGCTTGCAGCATTTACACTCACTCTATCTTTAATGATGAGGGCAATAAAAGCTTTCCTCCAGCGGCCGTTGTGAGGTCTGTGTTTGTTCTCCAGCATTTCCACAGCCTGTATAAAGATTCCTAGAAAACCTGATTCATTTTTCTGTTCACATAAATTTCTCAAGACATCAAAGATCCTTAAAACATTAGTTTTCTGCTTTTCAGTTAAACAGGAACATTTACAGAGAACAATAAAAGCTAGTCTGTTACATTTTTTCTGTTGCAAAACAGAAAGCTAAGCTTTGTAAAATGGAGCTAAACCAAGCCGGGGGAAATGTTACAAAAGGACTGCCTGCCTCCTAGGCCTAATGCCATCTCCATCACAGGGGAACAAAAGTATGTCAGGCTCAGTTCTAACAACCACAGCTATTTTGCTAAGGGCATATCTTACAAGTTATTTTACAATTTGCATATTGAAGCCAAAACAACTAATTACTGCCTTCAATGCAAAGAAAGATACGATTTCTAATCTTCAGCCAAACTCTTGAGAAAGGGCTGGGATTCCATGTTGTGGTAGTGTTGCAATATATAAAAGGATGCAGAAGTTTTAATGTTGTTTAAGTGAACATGCTTTCAAAACGATTTCTACAGTCTTTTTGTAAACTCACCCTTCTTCTTCCCAAGGTTCCTCAGTCTTACCTCTACCTTTGGAAGGTCTGAGAGATAACTGAAAGCTTATCTATTAGTTGTTAACCCCTTATTGTAATTGGTTGTTAGTAAGACCTCCTGGACCCCCAGTGGTCACTTTGTAATCCCCCCCAAGTGCTATTTAAGTCACTACCCAGAACAATAAACTCTCTCTGCCTCTCTCCTTGCTGCTGCTGTCCTGTGGTCTCTGCTGGGGCCATGGAGACCTCATGGTGGGGGGAGGGGGGAGAGCACCTCCCTCTCCAGGACTAGAGGTAAAAGGGAAAAGCCTCTAGCCTGGGGTCCCCCTCCCTATCCCCCTTCAACCTTCATCAGTTCCATGCTACTATTTATTAAGGTTTGGTTCTGGTCAGAGCAAAACAAAACAGCTACAAAGGCATTTTGTAGTTACTATAGATTTCAGTAGCACCAAGGATATTACCTGGATATTACATGGATCTCCTCTGCCTTTATCCCTGCTACAGAAATGCTTGATTGAATAAATGGGCCAAGATCTCTTTCACTGAAATGATCCCAAAATCCACTTTTTGTGTCTCCTAAACAAAACTGAAAGATGTCGTCCATGCAGTGTAAGAAAACAGAGAGAAAACAGAGCTTTTAAGCTTTTTTTATAAATAAAACCCTTGCCTACACGCAACCCTAAACCATGCTGAGCATAGCTATCATCTCACAGTTTCTGGCTTTTTTTTTAATGCTTGGCTGCAAGGTTTTACATCTTGCAACAGCTCATATGTCCCTGAAGTTTATTTATAGAAATGTTTACTGTTCATACTAAGTTTTTAATTCTTATTTATTTAGCCCAAATAAGAGGACAAGTGGATTTCTAAGGCTTCTAGGTGCTGGAGTGTTTGTTTGCAGGAAGGTTTGGTTATTTAGTGGAAAAACCCTATAAACTGAACCAGTCACAACTGGCTCTGAGGAGGTGGGCTGCGATGAGAGTGGGTGATTAGCTGAGGACAGTTAGACCACAGCCATCCTGCCTTCTACCACAGTATGCTTCTAAACCATTTCCTTCCAATGCAAATAAAAAGTTACAAAAACCACATGCCTAAGTTATGTGTAAATATCACGGTGAAACTCACTGTTTGCCGCACATGCTGGTCTAACTGCATGCCTGAGATACATAGGGACTATTGCTACCACAGTAACATAGGTGCTATGGGGTGTCTGCAGTCTTGCAGACTTGCAGTCTTACTTACCATGATGGCACAACAGAGGAAGATGTTTGCTATTAAATGTAAACTTTTGTTGTTGGGACTTTAACATTGACAGACATGTCTTCTCAAATACATGGCTTATCACAACTGATTTTCAGTGATTTGAAGCTTCTACAAGTATGAGCACTACTACAGCTGCTCTACTGCTACAGTTACAGAATTGATGCACATACTACAAAAATGCTTATGGGCAATGTGGTGCTTCTAATGAAAAGAAGACCAAACAGGATCAACTTCTGCCATTAAAGTACAAAGAAGTAATTAGCACAAATGAATTTATTTGTGTAAGGGGATTTGCAATAGATTCTTTATCTTACCAGAAAAATTTTGTGTCCTATACAACTACTTACACATGCTTTAGAATAATGACTTCTCAATTATAAAAACAACCTTCAAAAGGTGATATGGAAACCTTCCCATGGATTCCTCTCACATATAGTTGTAAATGAGAAAGATCTGCATAAGGATGATCACAATCTGCCAACTGCTAACTTATATTGATACTAGGTACTAACACTAATAAATTTTAAAAGAAATTCAAATAGTAGACTATTCAGTTTGAGGTTTTGAAACAGTTAGAGCACCAACATCGATTATAGAATGTGATGAGGAAATAAAAAATCTCAGAGGAACAGTTTGAGTAATTGTTCCTCTGCACCTATAGATAGTTACAGGGAAATAGATCAAATAATAATTAACAAGTAATTGACAAGTTTTACCTAATTAGTCCAAATGATCATTAAATATAGTTTCACCATAGGTAACTTTATTGTATTACCAGTCTCCTGATAAGGTACATGAGAACACACTTTCCAGTAATTGCCTAGTTCCTGAGATCAACCTCAGGAACTACTAAATACATTTTTAAAAAATATTTTTATACCACCTGGGAGGTGACCTAATACACATATGTCAAGAAGATAAATCTTTGTGACATATTACCGTGTATGGAAGTCATTCTCTTGGTTTTTTAATTAATCAACTCTCCTAGCAGCTCCACTAACAAATCCCAATAACTTCTTCCAGAGATTTTCTTTTACAGAAGTCTGGATGAATGAAGATGAGATTCAAGACAACACATAGTGAAAATGGGGGGTCAAAAGGAAAGGTCACCCTCTATTCCAAACAAGCACTAGATTTCAAATCAGGAGCTTCAGCTTCTAAAGATTTCATTCCTACTGCTGTTGGAACTTTGCCATTTTTGGCAAAGTGAATACAAGGGGTAAAGTAATTCTGAATATAAATGGAACAATTCTCAAAATGAGGAAATTATCTAATTCTGAATATAAATGGAACAATTCTCAAAATGAGGAAATTATCTCTCATATACAACCAAAGCTCACTACAAAAAGATACAGGTCTCTGCAGTGACAGAGTCCTCAAAAGGCCCTGCAAAAAATGCTTAGGTGGTCACAGAGCTATGTGCCCAGAAACAGCTCCTCAGGAGGCACTGCTTTGCACAAAGGTGACCTGATGGATTAGTAACTTCAGAGAGACTTTTCCTTTCCTGGAATAGCATAACTACCAATCATTTTGAGGCTCAAATTCTACTGTAAAATAACAGTAGAAATAAACTTTCCAGACTGCTTTTGAACATGCTACTAGCAGAACGATTTCTCAGCAACCAAGACTTCATATCTAGTCCCTTCACATTTAATATGAAGTCTCTAACCATTTCATATTTTAATGTACCCATAAAGGGTGCATAAACGAACACTAATTACTTGGCAGCTGCGAGAGACTAACAGAAAGAAAGTACACAAGCTGTTACTGAGGCTCAAGCAGCAGCTTGCTGAGATCTAAGCAATGCTGGTCACAGGCCCCTCACCACCACTTGCAATATGAGTCATGGTACCTGAATGCACATACAATATTAACCTGGCTAAACTGTGAGGGGCAACACATAAGCTTGTTCAAATCACGTGTGTGGGGAGGGAGGAAAAGAAGGAATAGAAGGAGAGAGAATCAGAAATATCATCCATTTCTACCTTCAAGTACAATCACAAATATAGAAACAAAAGGAGAACATTTCCAAAATAAGCATACAGTTTTCAAAACTTTCTGAATCTTCAAGTTTGACTTCTATACCCAGAGCAAAAGGCTGGACCTCTTCTTAAAAATGTTAACAGCTTATGTTCTGTAGTTTCAATTTGGTTTTTTGGTGAAACCACCTTGTTTCCACCAGCCAGCCTTATTACACCAGCCACCAAAACAAGATCACTTCTTATTTTTAACTACAATACTTATTTTTCCTTTTGAGTCATCAGTGTGTTTTCAGTCCGCAGTATTCCCGATCATGCCACTGCATAAGGTTTCAAGAATCTCCATGCAGGTAAAACTGATGGTACGTGGAGCCCCAGCAACCTGCCTGGTAATCAGGTTATTTCATTCATGACCTATATTACTGTAATGTAAGTTTTCCCCCTTCTATTTCCTCTTTCAAAACCAGTAATTTAATTTGCAGTGTGCTGGCACTGCACAGCATTATACTCTTCACTGCCCTGATGCTTCATCACCTAGACATAGCTTTAAGTCCCTTACACCAAGACACTGCAAGGTTTCTTACTGTTTTATTGAGTTCTAACTCCTCTTCAAAAAGCTTTTAACATCTGTCTTGAATATGCTACAGTTCCTAGTATGTACAGAGTGTACCTGCTCATCTTCATATAAGTTTGCAAAATAAATGGAAGCAAACTCCTCAGTGCAAGGAAAAACACACAGAATGTGCACATGGGCTTACAAAGGCCATGAAAGATTACAACTGCTTTCTGCCCCAGGGCTGGCTATCCTGCTTCTGCAGACCTCTACTTTTTAGGCAAAAAATCTACTTCCTTCAGAAAGCTTTGGGAAAGGCCGATGCTGAGCTCTGACACACGCCTTTAGTCAAGCTTAAGGGCAAAGCACCAGCCAGACAGCACTTCCATTCTGCATATGCTTTCCAATTCAAAGTTCTGGAAGGAATAAAAATCCCTCTTTCAGCAAAGAGTCCTCTTTTTGGAGGAGAGGCAGGGGCAATGAGCTCAGCTCATTGTCCCCTTGGCTTGTAGGTGGCCATCCAATGGGACCCGGGATCACATCCTGGAGTGGGTCAAGCTTGTGAGTAACTGGTGTCAGCAGAACACAGGGCATGACAGGCAGGGCTAAGCTGAGGACCGGCAGGGTGGAAGCTGGAATACTGCAGGGGAAGTGGTTGTGGGGTCACTGTGGGCTGTGGAGCATCCTGGTCTGGGGAAGGCCCAGCACCAGTGGGGCCAGGAAGGGGGCACCAAAGCATACCTTGGGTGGGGGTCACTGGACTCCCAGTGCAGCATCAGCTCCATTGATGGCATCATGGTCCCCCCCACAGCCCAACACTTGTGATACTCTTCAGGGTGTCCTCTTACGGTTTCCACATCATCATCGTCCAGCTCCTGGAGTGATTTGAGCTCCCCCATAGCTTTTCACTTGTGATAGAGTATCTGGAGCACTCTCAGGACTTCTACATCATCTGGAGGAGCACAGATTCCTGACAGGAAGATGGCACAGGGGCTGTTCCACCAAGTGCTGGAGGCCATGCAGCACTGCACCAGCCACAGGGTTCTGCACCACAACATCAGGGCCGAGAACATCATCCACTGTCGAGATGAAGCTGATGGACTTTTGTTCTGGTACGTATCTAAAGGACGTGCTGTACGCCTGCTTTTCAGGTGAGCTCACACCCAGGGCCTGGCTGGGCACCAGAGGCTCTCCCTTTTGCTGGTGGTGGGGAGGGGGGAATAATTCTTCAGCTGGTGGCCAACTTGCTTTTTTTTTGTGAAGGGTGGGTGGGGAAGGATTTTATGCAACAGGAGGTAGCTGGGACTGGTGGGAGAGGAGCCAGTCCAACAAAAACCACCACCCTGTGGAAAGTAGCTGAGAGGGGGTTGCAAAACCCATGTGTTGGCCTTTTGTTTGCAGGCGCAGGAGGGCTTAGACGGCTCTACTCCCCTCTCCTGCCTTGGCCTATGATATTTTTCGTGACCAATGTGGGGTGAGGGGGGGATAAAAGCAGGGTTTTCCCTACTTGTGCACGGGTGTTTTTCTTGCACCTAGTGGTCAGGCCTTCCCAGGGCCCCCTCTGCACTCTTCCAGCAGCAGGGGCTTTCTTTTACAACCCAAAGTTTGTAAACAAGAGTCAGGTGCTTGAGAGAAAGCAGCAGGTCACACCATGTGCCACTGGTGCAGTCCCTGAATCCCCAGGAATGCCCAGGCAAGGGCAGCACCTGCCTGATGAGCTCTGCCTGTGTCCTAATGGAACAAGGGGTGTACAGTGGAGTGGATCCTCTTCCACTGCTGCCATGGCCATCCAATGACAATCCGGTCCCTGGGCATCCTGCTTTACAATGTGGTATGCAGATTCCATCCCTTCAACAGAGATGAGGACATCATCCTGGGCCAGCTCTTGTTACTGCTGTGGTTGTCTCAAGGTGAGTCCCCAGCTTTGAGGAATGGGAGGAATAAGTATTGGGAGATTGCAGGTGGCACATGAGCATCCCACTCTTGCAGCTGAGAAGGTTGATCTCCCATGGTTAAGTGGAGGAGGTGGCACACGTCCTGCCATCCTGCTCTCCTCCAAACCAGAGAATCAGTTGGGAGATTTCAGTGCAGCTCTGAACATACCCAGCGTGTCCTAGGCACTGTGGACCATGGGAGAGGTTGCACACGAACCACTGACTGCTGGTTTCAGGTTTCTCTCTCCAGAGCGCCAGCACCTCATCAGATGGTGTTTATCCATGCACCCCTCAAATAGGGCATTGTTGGAAGACCTTTCAACCATTCTTGGCTGTAGGAAGTTCCCCTGCAGCCCCAGGAGATGCCTCTGCACAGTACAATCCAGAAGCGTGGCCAGTAAGAGCTTCACACATCTCATGGCATTAAGAAGCCAAGAAAACCAGACTGTTTCCCTGTGACCAAAGCACAGAGAAGGGAACACAGCTGATGAGATGCTTCTGATAGTCCTGGGGGAGGTTGAGGAAAAAGTGGCTAACTGCTCTCCATCATATTTGAGAAGTCATGGCAGTCTAGTGAAGCTCCCACAGATAGGAAAGGGAGAGACATCCCCTCCAGCAGCCAAGGTATGGAGGTCTGCCTGCAACATTGGGCACAACGGTGGCATCCTGCAGCATGACATGAAGCTGGAGAACATCATCTTCAACCTGGCCACTGGCAGGGCAAAGCTGCTTGACTTTGGCTGAGGCACCTTCTTTGAGGACACCCTCTATACTCAGATGAAATCAAGATGAGTCCACTTCTGGTGTGGCGGGCATGCTCCTGGTCCCAAGCATCACAGGGCCCACCTGGACTGGACTCTGGAGGTTCCCTGCTTTGCTGTGGTGGAGCAGGAATCAATTTTTCAACCAGCTGTCAAGTTGCTTTTTGGCAGGGGAGGGTGTGGATGTTGACGAAGTGGAGCTGGCTTCTGACCTTGCTGACAGCTTCTGTCACTCACCCTGGCACAGCTGGGGAAGGGGGAGACAGCCTGACAAAAACATCCACCCATGCGAGTAGCAGAGGCATGAGTTCTGAATCTGTGTGCCAGCCAGTTTGCTTTGGAGGATCTCAAGGAAGGGCTGAGGCTGGGGGAGGGAAAGGCAGGGTGGGAAGGTATATTCATTGCATGTGGAGGCTGGGCCTTCCCCAGGCTTGTGGTAGAGTGGTAACATTTTACCTTTTTTCTTTTTTCCAGGTTTTGTTTTTAAGTTACATTCATGCACTTGTCATTTGTTTTTCAAAGGATGATTCTTCCTGGTGCCTAGACTGGACTGGGAAGTGCTGAGATGGTCTGCAGAGTGGAATACACTGCCAGTGCTACCCTGACCATGGTTCGCAGGTACATCCCCTTCAAGACTGACGAGGACATCATCAGGGATTAGCTCCTCTTCTGGCAATGGGTCTCTCAGTGTGGGTACCTTGGCTTCACAGCATGGGTGGGATAACGGTTTTTGGAAGATGGCAGTGGCTACACAAGCACCCTGCTCTTGCAGCTACTGAGGAGGTTGATCTCCCATGGTTAGCTGGAGGAGGTGGTACAAGTCCTACCATCCTGCTCTCCAGAATGGAGAACCAATTGGGAGGTTTGGGTGCAGCTCTGAGCACACCCAGTGTGGTCTGGGTGGGACAGGGTGGACAGAAGACTTCTTCAACTGCCCATCAGTATCTGGTTTCTCTCCCCACGGTGCCAGCACCTCATCACATTGAAACAGTCTATGAATCACCAGGCCTGCAAATCTGGGGGGACATGGCGTGTTTACTGTCAAAATCTTGCATTCTTTTCCAAGCTTTTGATCCTCTTCCTCCAGGGTAATCTTCTGTGTACTTACGCACTGAGTTTATTGGAGCTGGGAAGGGTTAAGGAACTCAAAAACGTAATAGCTCCTGTCTCAAACTGCAGCAGCCACTTCAATGACCCTCAACTGCCACCCAGGCATGTGCTGCATTTCTCTTTACCTTTTTGGTGCTGCTGTCTGTCCCCTAACAACATACTCACCAAATTTTCCCACCCAGCCCTAACAGCCCTGCACAGACCAAACAAAACCCCACAAACTTGACGGAAGGACAAACCATGCTGGGTGTTAAAAATCATGCCCTCAGTAAAACAAAGAATGGTATTATGCCATGTTACAGTTATCTTTAGACCTACTATCTACTAACTTGTGCCTTTTTGCAGGCACTAACTTGGTATAACACTTGATGCAAGAGGCACTAACAATTGTCCCTGTCCCTTTGCAAGCGTATCTGAAATTATCTGGGTAAGATAATAATTAAACCCAACTAACTTACACTTTTTTTTCCTCAACCAAACCCTAATAACTCTAATAATTTATCAAAAAAACCTCCCACACTAAAAATCTTGGTTTTTAGAAAGAATGTACTAATGCTTTATCTATGCTCCAGAAAAAGTTTTGAAGTAGATTGGTAACTTTGTGTTAGTAACTCCTTATCTGACTGCCGCAGTTAAGTGACATTGTGCCACAGTTATGGCACAGAGTTTTCCCTGTGCCATAAAATGTTCAGCTTCCATGGGGTGGTTTAGAGGAAGTGAACAAGAAGACATGCCCCCTACCACATGCCATATAAGGTTTTAGCAGTTCTGTACATATCAACACACTGAAACCCCCCAAAGTATCCATTTATCTTCAGAATATATACCATTAAGGAAAGCACCTGATACAAGTCCAAAAGAATGACTCCTCTCAGACCAAATGCTGGACCGCTGACCTCAAGAAAAGTTCAACACGGGGACAGTGCCACTCCAAACTCTTCAGAATTGCCACTGCAGGTGCTACTGATTTCCTATATGTGATGTGCCAGCTTGAACCGTGGAAGTTCTAAATAGTCTTCACTGTACATAGGGAGTAGGCGACAGACAAAACCCACATCATTCCAGAAAGCACCTCCTTCTTTGTACCGTCTCTCTCTTCCATGGCAGTACTGTCAAACAGTAGCAGACTACGTTAAGAAATAAAAAATAAACTCAAACTCACTATTTCAAAGTCAAAAAGATACTTCTTAAGAATATGATATCAGATTTTACTATTCTACAAAGATTTTGCTCTGTCCTGTTTGTATCTGGGTATTCAAAAGAAAACACAGAACATCTGGTTTTGGTCAGTAAAGTGTCCATTTAATAAATTCCTTAGCCACATTTCCCACCCCCTTCCTCCCACCATAAAATTTCAATTCACACTTAAGCAGATCACATATAATTTGATGGTGAACAACATAAGCTTTTAAATCTGCACTCTTAATACTAAGAGTATTAGGGGCTAGTATTTGACAGAATTACCTAGAAGTCAGATGTGCCCATGCAAAAAAAGCAGATTTTTATATACAGTCCCTATTTTTTCTTACAAATTTAAATATTTTACAAAAATGTATTTTCAAAATGTATAAAGTTTAGTGAATACCCCAAATGTATCTTAAAATAAAATGCTATCTGGTTTCAAAGGCTATTTCAACAATGAAGTCTAAATTGCACCGGATAAAAGGCACTTGTGCTGTGTGATGTCTTAAGCAAATACATGTTAGTTTTGTAGTACAGTAATACAGTGTCTTCTTGAATTCATGCAGCTGTCTCTGAGCATCAAGCATCATTAAAGCAGCCAAAAGAGATCGGGAGTAAACCTGATTCCACAGTTGTAAAAACATTTTCTATCGCTAAGTCGAACATACAGCATTGTGCTCCATCTTTGACTCTAGAATCAAATGCTACTGAAAAATTGCTGTTATTCACATGGGAATTCAAACTACATTTCTTTCATAAGTTACAAGAAGTATGTCATTTAATTATGAAACTAAACCATCACTGAACAGCTCAGTGTTTAAATAGTTTGTGCCAATGAAAGTCTGTATTTATAAACAACCTAGGGGCTAGTTTTCAAGGAGCAGTGCATTGTATTTTCGATTTCCACTTCACTGTTGAGATAAAAGCGCAGTCCTATTTGCCTTCATCTTCTCCAGCCTTTTCATTAAATGGCTATTGGTCATCTCCATCTCTTCTATCTTATCCAGCGCTGTTCTTAACTATAAAATGGAAACAAAAATTGCAATCACTTTAGTTTATCTGGACTTTCTGCTGTTCTCAAGCTTTGCAAGAGGAAATTATGTCAGGAATACAAGCATTATACACTTTATATGAGTGCCACAGAAGTTAAGACATAACAGCTTTGTTATTGCAGGCAAATGAACCAGAATTAAACTGTTATAGAGACCATTCATCTCCCCGGTAATTTTTGTAGAAGGATTACTTTAAAATACTACAAGTTATCAGATTTAGAAAAAAACATAACTTAGATCCTTCCTTTCAAGAAAGAACAGCATTGAATGATAGTTACTATTATTTTTATGTGCTACAGTTGTCATCTGAATTCAACATAGAGACCTGAAGGTCAGACTCAAAAACACTTAAAAGCTGCAACCAAAGATTACAAAAAAACACAGCTCAAGCAAAAGACAGAGCAGTTCGAGAGTGAAAGGAGCATACAGCTGAAAAGGAAATCAAGTTAGTTACCTCTCGCTGAAGCTTCCTCTTTTCAGCTTTGAGTTCGTCTTCTACCTTTTCTGCATTTTCTGCTGCATTTTTATACCTTGCAACCTGCCCTTCAAGTCGTCCAATCTGCAAACATAAACAAGACAGGAATGACTACTCAGGTGTTCCACCTGGAGCTCGCCTGCCACCAGCTGTTCCTCCCAGGACACAGCTGAGAAGACATAGAAGGTTAAAAAACTAAGCAGGGTTGGAACAAGAAAAATAAAGAATTGGGAAACCTGTGGATTAAAAACAAAAGCTAAAAAGTTGAAAGCCAGAAACCATACAAGAAGGTGCAAAGTAGAAAGGAAACTATGAACTGTTATCAGGACACAATGAAAAAGGTCTTGAGTCCAAGCACAAAGTTCAGCAGTAAGGAGGGAGCTTGAGACAAATACTGATCGTAATTTGCAGGTGTTAAAACCCCTCACTGAATTGTTCTATTTACAGCTCCCTGCTACCCCCAAATCCGCATGACAGGGTAGGAGCCTGAATCTGTGCAAAAGGGAAAAGCTATGCATCTGTGATTCAAATTATAATCCTTTATGTAATTTTTTGTAGTAATCTGGAGTTAATTTCCTAAAATACAAAAGTATGGCAGAACATACAGAGGAACTGAAGCTACCACTTCAAAAAAATCAACTTATGTAACTTAAATACTTGAAAGAAAGTTGTAAATACTGTGTAAGGGACATAACTTACTCTCTGAAATTCAAGAGGTTATTTTCATACATGTGTCTCTCACACTTCATAATTTTAAGTCAATAACATGGTATTATAGTTCAGCGTAGATTTTCTCTTAGACTGTGCACAAGTATTGAATTGCAGGAACTATAAAAAAATGTAGTGCCCTTCTGTGCAAACTAAAGATCAAACAAGAAATCAAATCATGAAATAGGTTTTCACAGTTTTTGCTTAAAAAAGTTTTGTCAAAGTGTGCAGATTAAGTGTAATAATAACAAACATGAAGAAAGACACACTTACATTTTGTTCCAAAGTAGTTATATCTTGTTCAGCTTTTGAAAGCTTGAATTTGTATTCACTAATTTGTCTGTTGGCATCTCCTAGACAAAAATTGACATGAATATGACAGTCAAAGCAGCTCTCTAAACTAGCAAATTCCCTTTTAATTAAAATTCATTAATAAGACCATTTTATTGAGAAGCCTGTATACAGGATTGCAACAGGTAAATGTTCTTTCAGAAATCTTTTAGAGTATGGAAAAGAAATAATTTTCCTGTTAGAGACCACAATTGTTTCTGTAGGAGTGTGCACTAAATTTCAGATGTACTGATGAGTACACATAGAAAACTCATTACTTAAAAAAAAGAATCAACACAATAACCAACACATACTGCAAAATGGGTCAGACCACAACAGACATAATACCAACAGTATTTACCTTAGACATCTGTAATAATATTCAAATCTTAAGGAGCACAAGGTGTGAACCTGAGTGACAAACTCCAAGGCTCTTTGCAATTTATTTTAGTGTTACATTTGAGCCCTGACGTTGCCAGTACTTTGTTCATGTTCATTGACACAAACATATTAAAGACAGTCTGTCAAACAAGTAAAGTTTTCAGCTGAAGAAACAGCTTGCTTGGAATGGAAAATAGCTTAATAATGGCCAGTCTTCGCGAGCGAAGATCCGGGGAAGGTCTTTACACCTTCCAGCCGGCGCATTGGATTTTTTAGGTGAGACACAGTGTGCGCGGAACTGAGCCCACCCTTTAATCCTAAGGTTCATCTGCCGGGGCCAAGCGAGCTTGGACGGTGGCAGCGAGGTCCTTAGGACGTAGGTGGGTTGCCTTTAAGGGCTAACGAGCCCCACCTGCCCGGGAGTGGCCCTGACCGGGAATCGAACCCGGGTCTCCGCGGTGATAGCGCAGCGCCTTTACCACTAGACCACCAGGGGCTCCAGGAAAATAGCTTAGTGCTTCCATAAAGCAACACTGAATATTGTGTTGAATCCATGTTTTGCTTCAAGACAAGTCTTCTAGATTAAGTTTCTGTATCAAAGATTCAACAAATAAATTAGGTAGAATATATTTTAAAAATCTCAGGTGAAATTCTACGGTCTAAAAATTGAAATTATTCAAGCAGTGGCACCCACTCTAGGCAAGGTTATCAACTGAAAAATAACTTCCTAGTATGTAGTTATTCAACACTGAAAGAGGCAGATTTTTAAGCTATTCTGCAGCGAGAAGTTCCATGCAAGGACATATACCAACAAAAACCTATCTGCTCAACAATATATTAATTCACAATACTACTACTGCACAACAAAAGGAGTGGGAAGGTCTGTTTCCTCTCTGCAGGAAGAATAACTTTGAACAGTAATCATATACCTACTTTGCAATTCAATTAGCTGCAAGTCAGAACCATTCTCTAAGCCTATGACATCTGGATTCATGCCATCACTTTTAGAATACTTCTGTCGTTCTTCTTCTAACTGCATCTTCAGTTTTCTAACCTGAAAAAGGAAGTGTTCTTTTGTGAAAAAGAGACTCCCAGAAGTTCATTAGTTGTGTATCTAAATGTTCAATGGTAAAAAGGCAAAGCAGTCCTGAGATGCCACTAGCTGAGAAGCTTCTGTAAGCAAAAGTAGCAGAGCCATGTAGGAGAGGAAAGGAAGCCAGTCCTGAGGCCTGTGGCTGCAGCCCTCCATCCCCATCACTGGTGAATCATCCTCTGCATACCAATGCACAACTCAAAACCAATAGTTTGATCAGTGCTGCAGGGATATCTGCACAGTGCAGGAGCACACAGTAACTAACAGAGCTCACTTTTCAGAGGAGTAGATGGCATTAAACTCCACTTATGGATTTCTTCTACTGCATATCTTTTGCATTCTAAACATGCATGAAAATCTTGAACAAGGTCCTGGTGAGTTTACAGAGACAATAATTCACCACTTTTTTTGCAGGTCCTCTCTCACAGTCCACCTAGAAACAATGGTCCTAGGCAAGTCTGTAATGCACATTAGTTTTAAACAGTTCCATTTCAAGCTACAGCAGCTGTCTTGTGATTTTTCCATTAGTCAGGGAACACAGATTTCTCAGCTATGTCCACTGTGTACGGAGTTTATTAAAGAAGTGGGAGCTACCGTTTTGACACTCTTATAAAAATACTGCCCTACAGATTTAGCAGTATGGAAGTTATACTTGCAAAACTCCCATTCATGATACAAATCAAATACAGGATTAGTGATTTTTACTATTACATAGTGAAATATATGCACATACATATTTATGTACTTAAATTTAATGCTATAATTTATTGACATTACAACCCAAACATCTATACTATAATTAAGGTACATTCCCTGCAAAAACAATGTTCACAACACCAGTTTAAATTTGCAATGTCTTCAATTAGAAGAACCAACACTATGGTACTCTTAACAATTGCTCAATGGCTATATATGTTCTTGAGCCCTCTCTTCTCAATACTGAACTGTATTAAAATACAACTACTTTGATAATACGAATTTTCTATTTGAGTAACTAAAATGAACAATGAAATAGTATTTCTTAGCAATTTTGAAGAAAGTGCCACTTGAGCTTATGAGAATGTATTTTACTGACTTCAGTAATTCCACATAAGACAAAAGAGCTTTAAGTACATGCACTACTAACAGAGTCAGCAGCAAGTTAGATTTCAGCTAACCAGTTACTGAAATGAGGTTTCTTTAACAACCAAGATCAAAGTAATATGGATGAGGACACTAGTGAGAGGACTTGCTAATTCCTGGTAGCCAATGAGGTAAGAAGTTGAGTATTTTATTTTGCAGTAGTGCCTACGTATTTGATTAAACACTTTTGGTGCTTAATCTGTGTTTATTACTAATATATTATTAGTCTGCAATAGAATACACTAAAGTCTATTTTTAAAATGAATAGCTTATTTTACCTGGGACAATAATTCCTCCTTTTCTCCAGCCAGTTTTCGTAGCCTGATATCTAAAACCCAAAGAATCCAATTAAAAATCAGAAAAAAATGACAATAAAAATATGTTTTTCATAACTTTTTGTTCTATTTCAAATAAAATGCTCTTCAAAGCTAATAGCATTGGGACCATAAAACTTTGATATCTCATTAATAACACACTAACCTTCAGTTAGTAAAAAGAAAAAAATATTTCATTCACGCTGTTTATTAGTATAACAATTCTAAAAGCAAGACCTCCGGGTTTAGTAAATCTTCAAAGCAAATTAAAAACTGAGGATATTTTCAATACTAAAACTAATACTAAAATATATTGTCCCAATATCTAGAACTGCCATTTCCAACAAAAGTTTCTTCTGATTTTATACTCTTTTTCCTTTCTCATTCAGACAATGCTATCTCTTCAGAGAAACCACTAAGCTTCCCCATATGTTTAGAAAGTTTGTAAAAACTGTTCTCAAACCATGAAAATATTATTTGGGAAAGGACTCCTGGGAATGTGGGAATATCTCTAATTAGTCAATAGCTCAGTTATGGCTACAAAACAGTCTGTCAAGCAACACCATGCTAAGATTAGAGCATCTCCCTTAGAAATTGTAACTTCGACAGAAACAAAGCATAATGACATTTGTATTTCCCTATGAGGAGCCAGAGCAGAAATATGCATCAAGTCTAATTTCTGTCAATACAAAAATACATAACTATTATTTATTATGCACAAATATATTGCAAGTAGGTAGATATGTTCCTTCACATGTTAACAGAGTTTTACAGTGGATTGACTATGCATACAACAAATTGTTCAACCTAAGGATAAAAGCAAGTTAAAGTTATTACCCCCCCAATATGTACCTTTCTGTTGTCCCTGTCATTTTTTGAATGTTTTTAAAACTTCTTTTTCTAATGAATGTGATGGAAGACTGCACTTGCTGTTCTTTCATTGATTATACATAGTTCTGAGGAATTATATTCATGAAACACAATGGAAAACATACTAATACAAAAGACTAAACTTTTAGGCAAGATGTTTTCTGACAGTAATAAAACAGAAACTGGACCAAGAGAACTAATACATTTCAAACATACAAGCACATACTTTTTTTTTCCCCCTCAAAATATAACATCTGTCTTTTTACTCAGTGTAAGCAAAAAACTAAAAAAAAAAATCAATCTTGAAAGCTGTGTAAGTATGTGTTACAGAAGCATCACAGCTATCTGTCTGCAGCTGTAAATCCCACACACTGTGAACAGGAGGGAAACAAAGACCTCTAACACTCCATAAGGTATGTTAGGATATTTTTACCTAGTGGTCCTTCTCCTGCAGATTCCAAGACTTGAGCAGCTTCTTGTGATACAACTGTTATCGCACTAACCACCGATTCATGGTTTACATCACCATTTGGTGTGCCATCTGGAATTATAACTAATCCATATTTCTAAAAAAACAAAAGAAAGAAAAAAACCTACTCGTACAAGAAAAACTGTAAAATATAAATCAACAGAAAAGTTTTTTAAGAGCTTTTGAAGTTAATTGAAACAGTTACAATGAAATGGACCATTTATTCTACCATAAGGTCAGGTTTTCAGGCTCCACAAGAATAGTAACCATTCTTCCTCTTTTTCACTGACCTTGATTTCATGCCCTATTCTTGGATTTCTGTTACTGTAAAGTAACTACTACCAACATACCTCTCCTCTCTTCATTGTTTCCTTCAGGTCAGCCAACTCCTCTCTGAGCTCATCTCGCTCATTCTTAATGCAGTCAAAGTAATCTTTCTGTCTTTCTAGGGCCTGGGCTCAGGCAGATAGCAAGAAAAAGAATGGCACAGAGAAAAAGCATATGACAGATAGCAGAGAGATTTTCTACAAGTAAATACAAAGAGCTCAATAAAAGTAAAGAAATTAAAAGGGCTTTTAAAATATATATTAACATATATCTCTGAAAACTGCTTTCTACAAGTTGCATATTTAGCTTCATGCTGCATTTGTCTTTTTTTTTTTTTTTTCCCAGGCAAGTCTTAGTAGATTCTATAACAGATTTTTATCTAGTGAAACCTACTTTTGGTAAATTTTTATGAACTAAACTGAATACCAAAAAAGTAAGTAATTCTTCTTGATACAGGCACTCTGTGGCCAGAAATAAAAACTTCTGACACTAAGTGGAAAAGATCCTAAAACATTACATCTATTGAACTAATTTCTTTACCTTTTACGGGGTCTAGAAGTAGACACTGTACATCATAAAAGACCTTGGATGTATCCACGTACAAATACTAGTCCATTTACTAGTTGCTTAAGGGTTAAAACCACTATTTACTAAAACCAAAGCACTTGGTTTTAGAGAAAAAATGACAGCAAACTCTAGTATCGCTATTTTAGCACAAAAAAGTATGGCAGCTAAAAGTGCAGTATGGATGTAGGTAGGTTTGCCTACCTATGCTGCAGCTCTGTTACCTGGCACTTAATCAGACACTTTCATTTGACTGGGAAGCATTGCAGTATTCTATTCAATTTTAATATTACCCACATTACAAATAATCCTCACCATACAGCAAATGCAAAAGCACACACAGTTTGCCAAGAAAATTATCCCACTAAACCTTATGTTACGCATGAATGTTTAGGAATGGACTGATACCAAGAAAGAAATGAAGGTGTACACTTTTGTACTGTAATACATAACGGCAGTATGCTGAACTCTCATAATCACCTAGGATCTGTATCTAGTATACTAGAGCAGTGTTTCAATGCATTACTCAATTTCAACAGAAAGTTTAAAAAAGTGCTGATGCACTTGTTTATTTTCATGTAAATGTAACATTTAAAATACAGGTAATTCAATATCTGTGAAAACATTAGTTGTCACATCTTAGTTTAAGAATTCATTAGTGTTTCTATTATTTCCTAACACAGAGTAGATCTCTAACTACATCATAAATAGTGTGAAAAACCTTAATCATGACATCATTTTGTGTTCCACTTAAAAGATTCATCTATCTTTGTCATTTTCAAAAAATAGTGGCATAGAAAGAGGGGAAAGTAAGCTCAGCCCCCCTTGAGAGAATGGACACAGAGGCCCAGAATCACGCTACAGACAGAGATCCTACGTCCTTGACAGTGTCCTGTGATGATGCTGACTTTCCCAAAAAACGTTGCAAACCTCACTCCCTAATGCACAAGTGTTGGAAATTGGAAAATTCTGATGGGAAAGAAAATGAAACTGACATCACTATACATCTCTACCTATGAAGAGCTTAATAATCTTTATTCAATGTTGGAAAACTTTAGTAAAAATCCTAGTGTTTGTATGCTCAGGGGTTAATGTAATATGACACAGATTTTGAACACTACTTCTGCAATTCCTCTATGGGGCAGAGGACAAAAATCAGAACAACTAAGCTCTATGGGCATGTTTTACATACCAGTATGAGTAAAATCACATGGCAGAAAGTAGATTTGTCTGGGGTCTTATTTTCTGAATATTCCAAAAACCTCCATGAAATCTATACCAAACTCAGAGTTGCCATTACCAATTTCAAATTTGCAATACTTGCACAGTTTGGAGCCACCAAACAGTAAAACAGCTGTATATTTCAGGAAAATAATCTGAAGCTTTAGTCCAGTGTTCTCATACTGATCTAATTTAAGATAAAATACAACTGCAAATTTCAATCATTGTAGAAACAGGACAACATATGAAGGCAGGTGTAAAAGAAACTCATGCTATTTTTGTTCTGTTTACCTCCCTTTCTTTCTCTGAGACAGCAAAAGTTTTGCATACATTGTAAAACTACATTACAATTCTAATTATAGACTACATTGTGAAGCTTCTCAGAGATCTCTGAAGCTGGAATAGAGTAAAAATTAGCAAATCTGCTCCATAGTAGGAGCAGTCTTTCTCCATAGTACAGAGAAAGACCCAAAAACTGAGCTACAAAAAGTATGTCAGTGTTTATAGATATGGGAAAGAGAAGAGCAACATTTTAACATTTTCATAACTTAGAGATTTCAATCTTGAGATAGTTAAAAAAGAAAAAAAAAAGTAGCTGGTAGCTGTATTTGAACATTACATATGCTCTCTACTAACTCTGGCAATGTATTTGAAAGAGCACAAAAATATTGTATAAATTGAGACAGTCAGGTATACAAATGTGAAAAGTAAGTATGGAAAGAATATGGTAAATGTAAGATAAAAAGGATTTCAGAATAAGAATGTCCAGAAAAACTTAAGAATGTTGAAATTTTTTAATGATGGAAGAGAATATCACAATATGGATTGAAAGACTGAAATATGAAATAAATATAAGACAGTATAGCAGGGAGCTTGTGAACTGGGCACCATCAGTTAAAAGATAACTTTTCAAAAGGACTTGAACTCCAGCAAATAAAACAATTTTCAAAGAAATCTGCATATACTGAAATCCTGTGTAAAATTTAGCTAGAGAGAAATTACCCTGGAGTTGCTAAGATGCAGATAATTTCTTTCTAGAGGCTTTCAAATAACTCCCTATCTCCTCCAGGCAATCTACTTGTGGTCCAAACAGCCAGAAGTTCAGAGTCATGCAGTTATCACCAAGGATCAGGCTGACTCAGACAGTTTTGTGACTTCAGTGCTGCCCAAAAGTAAAGCTGACAAACCCTGCCTGACTTACATTACCTGCATAGAGAGTATCATTGCAGTTCTTCCTGTACCACCTTCCCTCCTATACAGAAACCCTACAGATGCTCCTCAAAAGCTCCCACACAACCATTGTTTAGATTCCAACTCTCAGTTCCAAAAGCTGGTACCTCTGGCATTTTGTGTGTGGTATCACAAAACCAGATTGGTTCAGTTTTGCATCCAAGCCAAACAGTCCTGGAAAGATCAGAAGTGCAATACAGGAATGCACAAGGTTGGCTGCAGAAGTCAATTCAAGATCATGTTTTTTAGCACTAGGCATGCCATTTTGTAAATATTTTGTAAATATTATAAAATTTTGTAAATATTTTGTAAAAATTATAAAATTTGATGTGCAACAGTCTATCTTACAGATTTAATTACCATTATTCACCATTATGCAAGTAAAGATGAAGTGTAGCTAATTTTCTAAAGATGAGAAAGACTGTTAAACATTTTATACATTTACGTTGGGAGTGGCCTTCACTTCTCTGGAGTGCACAGCATTCCTTGGGGTGCAGGGGGCATCCATCTACTTCTAAATTGAAAAAAATACCTTTCCTCCCATATTTGATTCATACCCCTATTTTTTTATCTTTCCAATTAATTGTCTCCTGGAGATCAAACACCTCTTTGGTTATGGAGTCTATATTCTCCTGCATACGTTGGTTCTCCTGTAGTAAATAGGATGAGGGAAGAATAAAAGAGGAAAGAGAAGTAAGGAAATGGGAAAAAAACAAACATTCAAATAGATAAAGGAAATTAAGTAATAAAAGTCAACTGAAGAGTTTATGAGCATGAAGTTACAGAAACAGCATGCAGCTTAATGTAATATATTTTTTATGAATTCATGCAAGAGAATGGTAATTAATTTTATTCAATCAATGTTGATGAGAGAATTTAATGCACCTTAGAGCTACTTTTCTTTAGTAACTGTTCCCCCTGCAGTCTCAGGATAACATCCTTTCTATAGAAATATAATTACCCTGGTTGTAATTTCTAGATACGTTCAAGTCCTCTTTGGAAGTGAACACTAATGTTAACAAGTGGTTTTATTAATGTTTTACATAATAAAAAAAATCTTCTTGCAAGTATAGAGAGTTTGAATCAAGCATCCAGGAAGTGAAAGACAGCTGCTAATACTGCTTTCTGATACTATATGAATACATGGTCCTATTTTTTTAGCTGATACCACATTTTGCTGCTTGCCCTGTAAATACAACTAAAATTCTTAGGTATGATGTCATAAGAATTTTTAGGGCTAGAGACCATTTTTTTCCCTCTTAATGAGTGAACTGGATTTCACATCCATCTGGGAATGGAAGGCAATGTCCTCCTGCAAAAAGCTACATGGCTTTAGCTAGATTTTCTGTTATTGTTGATAGATGGAGAAATTGTTCAAATAAGTGGTAAATATGGGTCAAATCTTTGAAGGGACTGGATGCATTTGTGAATATTCAACACATGCTACATTCTACCAAAGCAAACACTCCAGGTAAATCTACTGTATATTCTTGATTAGTACACTTAAACCCCATCAAAACATAACATAAAGCCAAACAAGAACATACAAAGTTATTTTTTAATTCTCAGTGAAGTCAAAGATAATCTAGAGCAGGTAAGAGAGCTACAACCCGAATTTTCTAGGGTTTTTTGCTTGCCAGTATTTATGTGATTCAAAATGCTGATAACTGAGGCTAATCTTATTCCTTTTCTTCTGCTAGTAAATCATATCAACTCTAGTTCATGATGCATATTACTTTCAAAGTAGAACTTTTTTAAGTAGACTTTTCAGAAGTCTTTTGCAGTTACTGTACTACCTAGAGAGTACATAGTGAGAGTACATAGTGAGAGTACAAGAACATAGCGAGGAAATAAAGGATCAGTGAAATATTATATAGCTTTTGAAAATCAGATAGTGGAAACTGGCCCATACACTTAAAAATCATCAATTTTTATTGAAACCAAAGGGCAGCAGGAAAATGATGTACTAATTGAACTACAAATTTCAATGTTTTAACTAAAATCATTGGGAAATAGACACCCACAAACTGCTGACTACATACATATATATATATGTACATATATATATATATATGTACTTTTGTGGGCCATTTTAAAATGAAGACTGATAATAGTCTGGGATTTTAGGGCACATGGATTTATTCCCAGAAGGGCAAAAGGGAAAAAGAATAGGGTGAGAGGGAAAAGAACACACCGCACACCCAGCAACATGGTTATGACCCAATAACATGCTGACCAGTGTTGCTATATTTATGCTTGCCTAGTAAGCAAACAAGCAGTCACTACTGCAAACTTCAGTGGCTGATGCTCTCAAAAATCTGAAATAACTGAAATGGAAACTTTTGGGAAAGGCAAAGAATAACATTTGGTATTATCCACGCATCAGAACTTCTAGATATGGAAAAAAGATTTCGGCCATAAAAACATTAATTCTGCCCTGACAACAAAGCAAAGATATTAGGAACATTTGTGAGAGAACCACAATTCTCACAAGACTTAAGGATGTTACAAGATGTAACATATTTAAAAGCCCTACAGAGACATTCTCAACTTTATAAATTTAGGGAGATTAGTAGCTTAAATTCTACCCACTAAAACAAGATAAATTCTTTCTTAAAAATGCAAGATGATATTCAATCCTGTTTTGTATATGATGGCTGTTCCCATTCAAAATGTTCACAATATTTATTTGCACAAGTTCTATCATAGACTGTCTTATATGAACATACCTCTATCAATTCATCTCTCTGTCGAAGGCCCTCTTTTAGTTCATCCAGCTTATGCTGCAGAATATTGCAGGTGTGTTTCTGTCTTTCCAATTCCTATATTAAATAAATCAATTATTTATACTTCTTTTGAGTTATGTAAGAAATATGCAACAAATTTGAGAAATTCTACCTACTAAGGTGTTAAAAAAAAATCACTGAATCAGTGTTTTAGGTAAGTTCTCTAGATATGACATGGAAGATTTTATTTCATTAAATGTAGAGGAGAGAGAAAAGATGACATAAAGGCTTAAGCACAGTATTAACAAGAAAAGCTAGTCTGAAAGTTTTCAACTGTTCTTACTAAATAGTCCAGAAGTCTACAATTTATAATCAGGAAAAAAAAAATACCTTTGACTTCTCTTCATTCTCCCTATAGAACTCTGCTATCTGTTCTTCTTTCTCCTCAATAACGTCCTTTAAAGTATCCACTTGGTAAACCAAGTTGTTTTTCTCATTGTCTAGTTGAGCATTGGAAACCATAGCTTTCTTGTATTTCTCTTCAACTTCAGCTAGCGAATCCTATTGACAGCAGAAACGTTTGTATTAGTCTAACTTTTTGATGCAGATATAACTTTAAAATATTCCCTTTAGAGATATCAAGTCACAGTTCAATTTCCATTATTCAAGTTAGGTTATACACAGCAAAGAAAAGTTATCATTACAAAAGCATGAAAAACATAAAATAATATTCAGTGGCATTTCTACTCTGCCACCACTCATGGGGATACAGTTGTAGTATCACAGCTTTATAATATTTTCAAGGGATGCAGGAGAAAACATTTCAGAATGAGGCAAAAAACCTGACAGAGAGAACTCAGACAATTAAATCACTATAAGAGATCACAAAAACATTTCCAAGAGTAGCTTTAACTTGATGTTCGTTATTTAAATAGTGCTCTATTACCTTAGATTCAAAGTTTTAAGACAGTCACATTATTTCAGTAATAAGGATTCTCTGTTTAAGCAGATATTTTGTCTTTATATTTCCTACTAAGATCAAAAAAATAAAAGGCATGTAAAGATTCACATGCTTGATTCTCTACCTGAAGGTGCACATATGTCTTGCTGTATATCCTCTTACACAGTTCTCTCCCATTTAACATTTTATCCTATTTTTAATTATCCTACTGGTTTTTTTTCAGTACTGTAACAAATGTCAACCATTTAACTACTTAGAACAAATATCACTCCAGGCACTTTTAAATATGCAATTATTTCAATAAGCATTATATGGGGGTTGAGACTAGAAGATCTTTAAGGTCTATTCCAATCTTTTCACGGTCTATGATTGTATGATTTTAAAAATATAAAAATTGATTTTCACAGAGTCCTAATTTTAGAACTGAAAAGGAATCATTAAGCCAATTACTTTACGAAGTACATCTGTGACTTACTATAAATCTTCTAGTATTTCATGTAATCTGTTCCCTGAAGGCATAAGTAGCACAATTTCCAATTTTAATTATTTGTATTATGACAGTAGAAATACTAGAACAGGAAATGCATGAACCTTGGGTTTTCCAGAAAACAGAACACTAGGACTAAGATATTAAGGGAGAAGGTGGTAACAGTCTAAGTTTCTTAAGAAAACACTGAAGAGTGCTATCTCTTATACAGTAAAATTACGCAAAGATTTTTGTTGCATATTTGTGTCTTCTTTTAGAAATACCAACTCACGGTTCAATATTCCGCTATAAGAAAGGCAAAAAACCCCTTATCCCCAAACCCTATTCCATGTTGTAAATCTCCATTTTGAGAAAGCTGTCCTTTAAATACGTATTTTAGCTTTTATAATTTTATCATAATCACAGGTATTTATACCTTTCTATTTCACTCACTGAGTTCCAGAATTTTCCACTGGAGATCAGAAGAGGTAAAACAGTTTAAGTTGTGAAAAATACACGAAACATATCATTATCATCTGGGAAGCAGTAAATAGCAAACAGCAAAGATGACTCATAAGGATAAGAGAAAAGAATGAGAAAAGAGACAACTCTCAGGATAAGAGAAAAGAGAAAAAAGAAAATAACATATGTATGTGTATTTCAAGTAATTCTTAAGATTAAACCAGGGAAAACATTTTTTGTGATGCTGTAAGTATAACCAGTTATGTAAAGATTTACAAAAAAAATGCTAGAGACTGCAAACCTTCCAAAGACTTCCAAAGAATAATCCAGTTTAGAGGAAAAAGAGAAAAGTACTAGGATTATAATGAATGCTGTAGTAATTTTACGAGGAGATGTGAAACTTAACAAAAACATATAATGAGGAAAAAAATTCCAATTTCATTGTTTCTGTGAGTGTGGTGACTGGGGTCATGTAGTAGTTTAGGTTGGCAAAGATCTCTGAATACCATCTGGTCCAATCTCCTAATTAAATAGAGCCAACCAAGATCACACTGCTCACTGTTCATTTTAAGTATCTTCAGGGATCTACACCACAGAACCTTGATGGATGATCTGTACCAGTGTTTGCCTTCGTTGTGTAAAGTCTTTTTCCTGAGCTCTAATTGGAATTTCTGCTCTTAACAATGCAACTTTTGTCTCTTGCATATTTCCCTTAGAAAGGTGTCTGCCCTGTATTCTCTACAGCCTCTTATCAGATACACTGAAAACAATAAACTGGCATGTATCTGTCTACTGCCAACCAACCCTCCAAAGGTCAAAGGCCATTGTATCAGTCTCTTACTGATGGCCACATGTTCCAGGACTCCAGCCTTAAAGAGAAGATTAGGTTGAGGCTTAAAACATTGGAGCAAAATGTCAGTAATCAATGAGTTATTTGGGGGAGGAGGGGGTGTGGAATCTGCAGTTATGGAAGAGGAACAAATTGATTTAAAGACTAATAAGTGAAAACTGCTTTTGAGAGAGAAACGAAGCTATGTCTAAGAGTCTCAGATGGGTTAAAAAAATGGAACATTGCAAAGATTTCTTTGAAACTGTTTCTTCTTTTCAAGTTAAGTATTACACATGTTCCCTGTGGTTCAAGAATTCCACACAATTTTTAGAAGTCTTCCACTTTGATGAAAAATAATATGGATTTTAAATAATTTCTGAAACACTTTAAGGAGGCAGTGGGACTTCTGAGGATGAAGCAGTGGGAACAGGCCAGAATGAAAATGGATAAGGCTCTGCACATAACCTAAAGCTATGAAAAAATACCACCCACAATTCTATCAGTAAAGTCAAAGGGCTATAAAAACTAGCCTACTTGGCTAGAATAAGATCATTCAATGCAACAGACATCAAGAGAGTTCATTGTAAACAGCATAAAAAAAATTTTGAGGAAAGAAAAAGGATTCCTTTCTAATTGATACAAAGAAATACAGAAAGGACCAAGAAAACTGAATGAAATTGAGACATGAAAAGATTTGAAGACTTAACTAAATCAGAACTATCCACATTAGTTCATTCTGCTGACATTCAGCATATTTGTAGGTAAAGCTCACATTTTTAGCAGCATGAGGGATGGGCAACCAGAGAGATCGGGAGTGTGATTAAAAATCCCTGTTACTCAACCACTGAAAACAATCCCCTTAAAAATAGTGTAAATGGAAGTATGCTAGTACTTCTTCTAAAATACACAAGACAAAACTGCTAAAGTACAAGTTGAGGAAAAGGCAATACCTTCCTAATTAAAAAGAAGGGTTCCTGAAAAAATCTCTATGGAATGCAAATCAACTTAGGAACACATTATTTAGTATTAGCAACATCATAAAATGCAATTTAATTCTGAAAGTCAAGCTTAGATGAAGATCTTGCTGTTTATTGTACACTGTGCTCTTTGGTAACTTTAATAGATTACAATAAATAACAATGCATCAGCAATGATTCGGAACAGTAGTCACGAGATGCTAGCAACCATGCAAAAGCATGAGAGTTAGATCCATTCTGAAAATATGAAGCAATCTCACATTACATTCAATCATAGCTATGTCTAATAATCTGTAATCTATTGTGCTTTAAAGTATTTTTAAAGTATTGTGCTTTAAAGTATTTATAAAGTATCTTCATATGGCAATGTAATTAAACCAAAACATACTTAATCTGAGCATATGGCTATCAGATTCAAAGTTACTTATCCTCTAAAAAGAGGTAAAATTTTTGCTACACTGAACAGCTCAAATTACGTATTTTCTCTTTAAAATACCATCTAATACACTGTTTAATCCAAGAAATTCAAGGAAGTTGTTAAATATCCCACTGTTCTATGCTCCAGTACAAGAAGCATTCATTAAATTTAGTCTATATATGAATATAAAACAAATATGGAAAGATATCTTTACTTTTATGTGGAACCATTCACAATTAGACAACAGGAAAGAGAACAAAACAAATATCCTGAAAAAGATTTTTAAGCCACATCATTTGCTGTATTCAGTTTTAGCTGCACTGTTAACTGTGTGAAAACTTAAAAAGAAAAGCATACACACTAGTATAAACAAGTCAAAATACAGATAAATTTCATATGGAGGACTACACTTAGTGCAGGTAGCTTGGTGTGTGGCTGCAGTGCAAGCTGCAGGTTGTGTCCTGCATGGGGGGAAACAGCTGGACCTCCCAGCAACAAACACAACAAAGGGCACAGGCACTGGTGGCATCAGCACATCACAGCCTCAGAGACACAGCAGGAGCTGATGACTCAGCAGGAAGACCCCAGACTATCATAGGCATAGACTGCGAGGATATAAAAGCCCAGGGACTGCTTGGATCAGGGTCCCTCCTTGGAGGCACCCAGCTAGAGCTGGTCTTGCGTTGCTGCACCGTGATAAAACTACTTAAAGGAACCAGATATCTGGGACTCTGCCATGTGAAACCTGGGGTTGAGCTTGTAAGAAAACCCTGTCTGATGGTGACAGTGGTGTGTGAGGCGAGTTAGGGAGCCACCTGCTGTGAAGGGGCTTCGGTCCCAGCAGTGAAAGTCTTGGGTGATGGAGTGTGACTGCCAGAGTGGCACCTGGACGGTCAGACAGGAAACTTTCCTTAACACTCATTAACCTAATGTTGCAAAGAAGAACCTACTATTTAGACAAGCATAATGGGCAACAAAAAAACATAAGCAAAAAGAAAAAATATTTCTTAATGGCAAAGGATTAAAACAAAATTAATCTTCTCCTGCAAGCAATATGCCTACCCCAATTGATTTCAGCATATCTTTCAAATTTATTAGTTTGGCTTTGATTTAGAAGATGTAGTATTTCCTGAAACTTGGAATACTAATACCTATGTTCTTTGCCATAGCTATCTCCCATTTTTTTGTTCCCCATTCAATACCTAGCCATTATTCAGAATATCTATTTATTTGCCAATAAAACTCTAAAAAATACAAATTGAACCTCTCATAATCTTACCAGGAAACACCCATATATATATATATATATATACACACAAAACATTAAAGTTTAATACTCTTAACGTTAATCAAATAATGAACATAAACAATTTCATGTACATTTTGAACTGATGCTATTTATGCATTAAAAGTTAGATACATGCTTTAAGGAAATTTAAAAATTTGTTAGTAAAGCCACAATATGTTAGCAAAACTGGTGATAACTCTACTACCCAAAAACACCCATACAGAATGCATGCTTGGGAGAAGTCCTGATACCTTTAGTTCTTTAAGTCCCTGCATGTATCTCCCTTCTACATCGTGTATCTGGTCCTTAAGATCATAGATATCCTGCAGGATATAGGAACGAACCATTGCATAAGTAGTATGGGGAAATAATTAATAGTCAAAAAAGCATTAAAAGGTTTAACATGCACTTCTGTCAAATGACAAAACCTGCAATAATTCCCAGAAATTAAAATTAATTCACAACAACTTCATGGAAATTAAGATTTTGTTTATATCCCTGAATCCAAGACATCTTGATAGGACAGAACTGTTTGAAATTTGACATAAACATAGTTTTATCTTAATATAAGCTGAACTGTTAGCACCATAAAGACTTATGAACACAACAAATACAATTACCAAGATAAAGAAATCATTCATGATTGAAAATTATATCCTCATAACTTTTCTTATTATTACAGAAGATCTGTATTAAAAAAAATCTTCCTATTCCAAATTATCTGAAAATGCAATTTACCCGTAATTCACTGAGGGAGGCATCAGGATCCACCAAACTGCTTGCATCTCCACTTCCTCTCCTAGACGAGTTGCCACTCAGAGGAGTTGCACTTACTGAATTGCGAGATGAGGGCTTAAAAAGGAAAAAACCATTGTATCAGCAATCATATGGTCATATCTGTTATCATTGCCATTATTCTTTATAAATTTCTTCACAGTCACAGAACAGTCTTCTCTCTTCTTTTTCTTAATATTATAGACAATATTTTCCATAACTATTTTCCAGCACTTGTCTTTCTTCTTGGTGAAATGTTGATTCCTCTTTGATGACTTATTAATCAGAACTATCAGAACATTAGAATTTTGAGTCATCTGTCCAGAAGACACTCATAAGGTGGTTGTTAGTGCTGAAATACTGTAGAAGTTTACAATATTACTAAACATTATAATTTATGCCATCAAGGATTCAAAAGGAAGTCTCCAGTGAGAATACAGCATATGGATTTTTATAGCCTTAGGGTCTTAAAATTTAGCCTTTCCTAATAAATATTTCTAACATGAAAAAAATTGTATAGAAAATTATTACTGGCAGTAAGTAAACTAAAGAACAAAAATTTTTCCTCAGGAAATAAAAGACACAAAGTATTAATTTTGAGACATAAAAATATATGTCTAAAAATATCTCTGCTAAAAAAGCATTTCTACTTTTTGAACTATTTCAATAATTGTGAACTTGTGGATAAACCCTGACTTTAAATAATCTCTTACCCTTGAAAATATTTCTGAATGTGATTTTTCACTCTTTTCTTCCAGCTGAAAAAGAATAGAGAATGTGATTACCTTTTGCTATGAGGGACTACTGAATCATCATCTTTTGTTCAAAGACACTGAGAAATATTTAAAACAAAAAAATTGAACAATTCCAGATGTTAGCATAGATCAATACAGGAAAAACAATATCAACTGCAAAATAAATGAATGCTCATAAAGACAAAGCCAGAAGCTCCTTTTTAAAAGTTTTTAAAAAGTCATTACCAGTACTGAACAAAAACAACATATTTAAATTTCAACAGAGTAGTGACTACAACACTTGGTGACATAACAAACACAAAGCTTCATGCAAGTACACTTCAGCAGTCAGTGACAGCAGTGTGAATGTCCTAGTTAACAGAAAACACATTTGTTCTTTCCATCTCTTTGGTAAAATCTGCAATTGCATCAGGACAAAACTGATTCAGGTAAAAGCCCATAACTAAAGTGTATTAATTAATAGCAACCTACAAAATAATTTCAATTAATATTTTGTGTACTGAAGCCTAAGCAAAAGAACTACAACACCCCCTCTTATTCAGGAAATTCTGCTATTGCAAAATTATACTGTAGATTTCCACATTTTCTACATTTCTATGAATCAAAATAGGTGGAATTAGACCTGTTGCCATATTTTCAAAACAAGTATTTAGTATGGTATCTGAAATATCTTGCTTGTCAAATAATACTGGTTTTTTGCCCAGGCCAGGGACAAGAGATTTTGAAGTCCACTGCAATCCCAGCAGAAACAAATGCTACTTTATAAGACCTTTCTTTTTCCTTTTATTGTGGTTTCTATAGAAGCAATATTGCTTTTCCAGGACAAATTCACCATCTCCAATGATGTACTGAAATTGTAAATTGCAAAATTTGTCACCACTCAGATGATAAAATGATGTGAAGAATGATGTGAAGAATCCAACTGATTCAATTGAAAAAATATGGAATCCAATAATACATAATGATGATGATAAAAGCAACTGAGAAGGCAGCATAAATACCATCTCAGCCTCCACCTTTTCTTTTAGCAGAGCGCTAGTTTCAGAGAGTCAACTTTATTATGGAAAAAACCTCTAAGTTTAAGCTAGAGAAATGATCAGCCTGTCATGCTTTGAGGATGTATAGATGACAAATAATGTGCATTATTATAGTTAGATAGCACTATAACAGTATTAAATATCATCTAAATGCAAAGTCACAGAAAGAGTTGTTGCAGGAGTACTCCAGCTGTTAGCCTCCCATTCAAAGTAGAACTGCCTCCAACAGTCCAGGTCAGCTGTGGCTTTAGCTAAGTCTCACCAGCCTTGTAACCCATCAGAGTGCAACACTAACCTAACTGTGGAGCTTCTTGCAGTTTCTAGAACAAACTGACCAACTGCAGTGTAAGGCTGCTGGCCTTTGTTTCACTGCTCAGTCAGGGTATGGAGACTTTGGCTCTCAACTAAGCAAGCACTTGCATGCTGCTGATCACCACACAGCATTCCATCTGCTCAACTAAATGAGCACAGTGTTCACAACCTCTCTGCCTAGTGCATGGGCTAACCCTGACCATTATTTCAAAAGACAAAAGAACAGAAATTTCTTTTTTCCCCACACTATTAAACAGAAAGGTTTTGACTGCAAGTAACAAGACCTTTTAGGACTTAACAGCAGCAAGAAAGAGAAGGCAGCTAGGTTTGGAATAAACAATATTCAGGCTAAGGCATGCACAGGAAAACCATCACGATAATTTTCCTGCAATATCATCTATTGACTTGGGATGGAGTACAAGTGCATAGCCAACAAGGAGTGCTTCAGTAATGGATCCTGACAAAATCTCATACTGGATGAATGAACCCTGTGGGCACAGTTTTAAGTATTTTTGTCACTCAAACAAGTAATAATATTCCAAAAGTACATCCCCCCCCCGCAAGAATTGTTAATTTTCATAAGAAAAAACCCAAACATTTTACATTTTAAGAAATTCTTGAGCTTATCACACACAGAAGCAAATGTGAAGTGTTACACTTGTCACATCCTTCTAGCAACAAGCAAAATCTCCATTAAAGTAAAGCAGCATGCTTTTAAAAAATTCACTCAAGACACTTTCATACAAAAAACAGGCCCAAACCCTCAATAAGCCTATTTGCAATGAAGTTACTCTGAACGGTTTTACGGTATTTACCCTTTCAGAGTATATATAAAAAAAATCTGTGGTTAGTAAGTTTGCTGCATTCCCCACAGTGTAACAACAAGCATTACACTCACACTATTCAGGCCTTCATCTGCATCGGAAACAATGCTTCCCCTGCGGTTGGAACGACTAAAATAGTCAGCAGCAGTTTCACTTTGATCAGAAAAATCAGAGGACTTCAAAAGATAAGGAGAAGGGTGAAAGAGAACTGAAGACGACACCACAGAATGAGCAAAAGTTTATTAAAAAAACCCAAATAGGAAGTCCTAACTTAAATCTTCATTATTGCCATTTATTCTTGCTTTTCTAACATCTATAAAATTTTAATTACTCTTCAAGATTTTTGCTACTTTAAATGAATAAAAAGTGTGCCTCATTGATATATTTTATTTGTGCCATATTGATATATTTAGCATAGGCATTGTTTTTAAACGCTCTTCACATTTTTTATTCTTAATAGTTCACTGAATCTAAAACTAAAAGCAATGAACACTTACCATTGCGTTATTTTTCTCAATTAGAGTAATAAAAAATTAGGGTTAAACACAAATACAAAAATTACCTTTTAAAAAAAGTTTGCAGATCATAAAGACAGATAATACAGTCAGAAGTTGATAAATAAAAATTATTATTTTTCTCTACAAATGCTGTCTTTTCTCAAAACAACACAAACCCAACAGTGCTAGTTGAATATGAAAATGATCTGGGCTTCCTCTCATTCATAATTTTAAGACATGTTACATTAGAAGACAAGCTTACTCCCCAAAGATGAATGTCAGACAGGCACCTAAAAAGGTGAGGAAAAAAATGCCAATGCTACACATCATGTGTTAAAAAGGGCAAAATATATCTAATCACACTGCAATAATTACAACTGCCATGGGAATTCAAGTGAATTATTCAACTGAGAAACATTATGCACATTAAACACAGTGTTTAATGAGAAGAGTAGGTTTATCATAAGTATTTTGATTATATTCTACTTCAAAAGACAGAAAGTTACAGTGAGCGTTATATTTAGTTTTAGAAGTGATTATAGGAGAGAAAAATCTTTATATGAACAGTTTGAAAATATACTGTCCTGACCTATATCTCACTGTTGAAAAAAAATTATTTCTTTGCACTGGATGTACATGTAGCCTCATTCTGATTAAAAGACAGTGAGGTGTCTTCTATGCAAATGTACATAGATATTACATATATAAGAGGCATACATAAAACAGTTTGCTGATGAACACCTGGATCAGATTTGCACGATTATTTCATTAAACAAATACTGTGAACTCTACTAAGCATTCACTTGTACCTTGGCATTATTGGTATAACATATGCATACTGAGATCTGATTATATATATTCCTATATAACTTTAAAGTATATACTTGAAAAAATGAATCTCAGTGTTAAGAAAAACTAAGGAGACTAGAAGTATTTTCTCAGTTCAAGAGACTACAAATGGATGTTAATACCTCTTAAGTTTTGGAATTTCATAAAGCAACAGCAAAAATACCTTTTTTCCTTCACCCTCAAAAATTCACTCTGATATCTGTTACAGCTAAAAACATTCGTTTCTGAAAAATCTGTTTTTATTTTATTTTTTTAGTATCTGTAACACTGTTAATACATGAAAGATTAAAAAAGAATTGAACATTTCAATTTAGCCCAGACCAGAACGCTGATCTACTTTTTTTTCTGCGTAGCATGACAAATGAGCAGCTGTACCAGTGAAACTAAGGCAGCTGTTCTGTGGCAGAAGCAAAGTAAAACTATTTAAATCACTTTGCAGCACAAACCCCCAACTTTGGAAGGACACTTTTAATACAATAAAGATCCAGAAATTAATTTCTCTCAATTTTGAATCCTAGTCACCATAAAAATGAGCAAACTACTTCATACTGCATGATATAACAAAGTTTGCATTAGTCCTCTTTCCCAAGAGAAAGATTTTTCCGCATGTATAGAAGTATGTTTCATGTGCTTGCCCCAACTATGACACAGGGTGGCACCCCTGACAATGTAGTACACTTCAGTTAGCAGTTGCTTCCAACTATATAGATTACAAACATTTAGAAGATGTTTAAAATACCCAATTTTTTATTCCTTCTACAGTTTACAGTCCTACTGCTAAAACTACACCTTGCTAAAAATCACACCTTTGTCCGACAAATTAAATTTCTTTGATGTGGAATTGAAAAATCAAGCCTGTGTGTTGGTCAGTAAAACAATCCCAGTTGTACATACTCATAACTGCTGGTTAGTGTCAAACCACTCAGCCAATCATGCAAGAGGAACGCTCACCACAGGACTACTTCGGACTGAGCTTGCTCTCGAGGAATAACTGTATTCAGATGGCTAAAGAAAAGTTATGAAGGACATTTTCACAATTTTCATAGATTTTTGTCTACAGGAAACAAAGATAATTAAAGAAACAACCAAAAGCCTATTACACTTAAGAGTGTGAGAACTATATGAGTTCCATCACCATACAATGAGGCCTGAGAAAGAAGGAATGAAATACCATTTACATCCAGTCTCAGAAATTATTATGACACATTCATACACTATAATTCTTATGCACTGTCACGTAATTCATCTTATCCTATCCAGTTAATATTATACTTTTTGAAAGAACAAACAAATTTTAAAGTTTCTCACCAGCATTTATTATTACTACTAGGGATGTCTATTTTGAAATACAGATCTAAGAATTCCTTTGAAAACTGTCAAATAGCTTTAAAAAATCAGATCTTAACTATATGCATAATAAAATAAAATAAAATACTTAAATTGCAATTTGGTTTTAACTGTTTTGAACCCTGGGAACTGAAGCT